GTTTAGAGCACTTGTTACTATCTCAGAGGATGCAGTTCTTCTGGCCTCCAGACACCTGTACAGGTGTACAGGTATGCATGCAGCGTAGCGCATACACACACACACGCGCACACACACACACACACACACACACAAATACACTCATCATGCACTTGCACAAACACACAAAGAAAGGCATGTACCCACACACGCAAATGAAATAATCTTAAGTCATGCTAATGAAAAAACTAACATATTCCTATAATGGAATGATTTTTGTAGCCTTTCCAGAGGCCCCTCCCTCATACACTGGATGCTTGAAGGCAGTGCTGCATAGCCTGCTCCCCTGAGAGCTCACTCAGGAAGGTGTAGCTTTTCTTTTCTTCTAGATACTGGTCAGATGCATTAGTGTACCTTTCCGGACACTCTGGGTTTCTTACTCTCAAGCTATACCCTCCCCACTCCTTGGTCATACGACTACTATCTCACAGGTGCTCACTGACCTCCCCATTGGTGAGAATCTGTTTCTCAGACTATGACTCAAAAGACATGACTTTCCCTCCTCCACCTCACTCCTCCTGATGGCTGCTGAGATTTACAGCTGGATGCCCTGTTGTTGTTTTTTTTTTCATCAAACATTAATAAAATTGTCCTCAATCATGATACTTGTTCCAGGTAAGTTTCTTATATCTTTGGTTGTGAGCCTAACCTTTAGCAGCTAAAGTAACTCCCCAGGCCTCAGATAAGTTTCTTTAGAGTAGTGTGCACAAAAATTGATGAAAGGTTTCATGGATGCAATAAAATAATACTATCACCCATTATTCACCCAGATTCAAGTTTTCAACCTTGACTTGAACCGCCATTTTTATCTGTATTCCACTTTCTGAAATATTGGGAAACAAATAAGTGATGTCATAGTGTTTCATCCTTACCTAAAGTATACTTCTGTAGACATTCTTCCCTTTGCCTCCCCTTTGTTATAACCACAAAAACTAGTATTGCTGCCCAAGATACGTACAGCAACCTTAGGATTCTAAAATATTCAGTCTTCCCTAATTACCCAACTCTCACTAATAATAATTTATCTATTATAATTATATCTATAATTATAATTTATCTATTATAATTAGGGTCCAAAGATCACACACTATTTGATACATTTAAGAAGACTTATAAATATCTTTTATCCTACACATCCCTTTTATCTTTGTAATTAACATTTTAAAGAAGTGTGTGTGTGTGCTCGCGCATGCGTGTACACCCACAGAAGCAGGAGAGAGAATCATCTGGAGTTGGAGTTACTGGTAATTGTGAGCTGCCTGACATAAATGCTGGGAACTAAACTCTGGTCCTCTCAAAAGCAGCATACACTCTCAAGCACTGGGTCATCTCTGCAACTTCTATACTTGACATTTTAAATAATTATTTTTTTGATTTATTTATTTATTATATGTAAGTACACTGTAGCTGTCTTCAGACACCCATATGAGGGCATCAGAGCTCATTGTAGATGGTTGTGAGCCACCATGTGGTTGCTGGGATTTGAACTCATGACCTCTAGAAGAGTAGTCAGTGCTCTAAACCGCTGAGCCATCTCACCAGCCCCTTAAATAATTATTTTTGTGTCATTTTTGACTTGTACTTTGCTGATTATATCCCTGTAACTGATTTTCTGTAAACCTGTTCTAAACTTGGGGATTTATCAGATCATGGTTCAACTTCTTTTTCAAGAGTGGTCCTAATGCATCATATTATGGGGCTTATGACAACCTCTGAGCTGTTTCGAATGCTGTTGTGTAACCTTTTCCTTCAGATTGAAACATTTCCTATTGTAGGAAGCTACTCAACCAAGGTAAACACCTCAAAACAGCTTCAGGAAGTCCCTGAAACTAACCAGGTTCACTAGGCTCCTTCTGCCAGAGTACGCAATAAAGCTGCGCATTCCTCTTACATGGAAGGATGCTGAGCTACAAGGAAGACTCTTTTAAGACTAGACCAGCCCCCTGGTAGATTTAGGCCAGCTGAGCCTCCTCATGCCCTTTTCCCCCCAAGACAGGATTTCTCTGTGTAGTCCTGGATATCCTGGAACTCACTTTATAGATCAGTCTGGACTTCAACTTCTTCCTCCCTCTGCCTCCCCTGTGCTGGAATTAAAGGCACATGCCACCACTGCCTGGCTAACTTGTAAAGGACATTCTCCAATCTGTTGAGCTACCTGCAGGAGGTGTGTACATTGTTCTCCAGGTTCTCAGCTTTGTGAACTGTCATGCATGCTGAAGTGGGCTTTGGCGATGCAGCTGTCTTTGAGTCATTTTTGTTCCCATAAGTAATCTCCCACTCATATTCCTGTTCACAGTTAGACTTCGGTGGTATCTGTACTTTGGTCTGTTATGGGTTCCCTATTTGGAGTCAGGAGATGTGTTGTGTCTTCCCTGGAAGTCTGTCACACAACAGATGCTAAGATTGATGTATGTATTCAGGAATGATCAGACAAACATCCTTCATGAAATAGTGTAACAACTTTTCACCTGGTGGTTCAGTAGCAACGGTAACACCTATAGCCACATTTGATTTAAGGCTGGCTCTATTTAACACAAATATCTCACTTTGGATAAGACAAAGCCAAGTGACACAGAAAAGTGTTTGATTCATTTGCTCAACACATTGGCTGCATCTCATCTTTGTTAGGTGAAGCTGTTAGTAGTCTTTACTGAGATAGACTTATCCCAATGAAAAATGACCAGCATTGGTTTCAATCTAGCCTGCCCATACACAAGTAACCTTGACACATCTAGGTCTCAATTTTTCCATTTGTAGATTGGATAGTATTGACAGCACAACACAGGGTTAAGAAAAATAAGTGAAAAGGAAAATGAAATGTTTGACACACCTAAGATGGAATTACTCAATGGAGCACCGAGTCACAAATTCAGCCCTTTTTACCATTATGTGAAATGAGCACCAATTTCCACTACAACAAACCATAGGTCCTTATGTGTACTTATTATAAGCAGATATATATGCTTATATATATGATCCTATGATATCAGCAATCTGAGTTTAGGATGAGATGGTTTTCATCACTCCCAACTAAAGGGAAACAGCGTATTCTAAAAATAATGCAGTTCATAAACATTAGCTTCTTATTTAAGCATGCCCAAATTTATGCATTGCTGGGCTACAAAGGAGCAAATGACATTTTAAATTGTAAACTCTTGTCTGAAACATCCTGTCACTGCAGGACTCAGGAGCCAGAGGTAGGAAGATCACAAGCTTAGACTCAAGACTACTAACTACAGCCAGACCCTCACTATAAAAAGGGGGGGAGGGGGGAGTTAAATATAATAGCTTATTATTTTTAAGGAATAGCATTTTCAAAAAGATTTTGTTATTCAATTATGTGCATTTGTTTCTGTCTGTGGGTGTTTGCATGTGCATATAGGTATCTGCAGAAGCCAGAAAGAAGCTATATTAATCCCTTGGAGTTATCAAACTTGGATATTTTGCAAGAGGTGCTTTAAACCACTGAGCAATCTCTCCAACCTTCAGCTTGCCTTTTGACAAGTGTTCAACCTTACTGGTTTACCTGATACTATTCTTAAACCCTAGATCTGTGGTGACAATATACTACTTTTCATACCCACCAATTATACAGTTCAGCAGAATCTGTTCTCCCCCAAATTATATGTTTATATTTTAATTTCATCTGTGTGTATGCATGTATGTAACAGAGAGAAAGAGAGAGAGAGAGAGAGAGAGAGAGAGAGAGAGAGAGAGAGAGAGAGAGAGAATGAATTTTGGGGATCACTACTTTGACAGGTTTTAAGTAATGAAAAGAAATACAGGAGAATCATATGTATATTTATCAGAAGTAGATCCCAGGAATCTCAATTTTTTCTAGAAGAAAACAAAAACCAAAAAACTTTCAACGTAAGAATTTATTGTATAATAGTTTTATTTTTCTCATTTACTATTTTTACATTTTATGCACAAATATTTATCTGAGTAAAAATAGAAAATAACTGTTTTATGTAAAATTACAAAAAAACAAAGAAATACATAATTGTTATTATGATAGTATAAGTGTCTTTATTTAAAGAGTAAAAATGTATGCAAAAATTCTCCTCCCTTCTACAAAAGACTGAGTATTTTTTCTTGGGAATAAGTGAAATATTGAAATATCAACATTTTTTATAGCCTTTAGATCTGAAGACATTAAGTCAGTCACAGGTTTGTTTTGCAATTATAAATTTTAAAACATTTTTGTGCTATTTCAAGGATACACTAGTTCTTTATAAAAGGCAGTAGCATAAATGGCAAATGCAGAAAATGACAGAACTTGCCAAAAATATTTGGAGGTACACTCTTTAAAAGAAATAACCATACTTTAGCATCACTGTTTATCTGGGGAGAAAAACTGAATAATTTTTCCTACTTTATTTACATGGATCAACACCAAAATAAATGCAATCGGTTAAGTCATCATGTGGAGCTCAGCCACACCCAGGACTTCTAAGAGTTGGACTTTCCAATGCCAGCACAAATGTTCAGACTTCAGGCTAGCACGCGTATAAAAGGAGCTCAATGTAAACTTCACATGGGAAAACTGTTTTCTAACAAAATGTACATTTCATTATTCTTGAACTTACAAGGTACAAAAGATGGTCAGTTTTCTGTTCTTTTTAACTCTATCTAGGTTTTATGAAAAATGCACAACCAAACTGAGAAAGGAATACCACTAATTAATATTCTTTTATAACATGAGTTGTTTTAATAGAACATAGCAAACTGTGGTCTCAATACGAACAACAAATATTTTAAGTCTAAGTGAAGACAGAGTACTAAAGCTTGAGTCAAGGAGAAACCCTTCTCATTTCCTGTGTGAAGGTGCATGGAAGAGGTGAAGAGAACAAACACCGTAAGTCTGAGAACTGTGCTAAATCACAACTAACACAACAGCTTCCGAGGAAAGGAAATCTACAGAATTCAGGTTTTGTGGTTTTTTTGGTTTTTTTTTTTTGTTTTTTTTTTTAGCATTTGGAAATGTTTAATTTGATTTTTAGGGATCTAGAACAAATATAAATAATCCTTTCCTTAAAAACATATTTCTCTGAATGATACACAAAGTCTGTCCTCTTGGCTAAAACTCTAACATAATGTCTCCAAGACACTTTAATTCTAAGATTCTCAAGCTCTGAAGGTACTGCAGAAATATCCTGTTCTGAAGCAGTGACTTATGGCTCCCAGGACTATTTGTTATCTCAAGTCAGGGTCTGGAGATTGTTCTACTCTACACTCTTCAAATCATGGCGGTCAAACTGTACTACTAATTTGCCAGCCTACTGTTGCTTATAAAAACAAAAAATAAAATAAAAGATACAATTTAACTCTGTTTAACTATTTACTGTATAATCTTAAAGGACTTCATACAAAGAAACTAGCAACACTTGTTGAAGTCTGATAGCCTGGCACTGGAAGTTATGCTGTAGGAGGTGAGCAACCCTTCTTTCTTGTCCCTAATACTCCAAGCCAGTACTTAGTCCTGGTTGCACTGTCAGGCTGCGAGTGCATATGCTTTCTCTTCTCCTCAACTCTTCTAAAGCAATTTGGGAATGAATTGAAAGAAAAACAAATGAGAGAGATGTATATAAAGTAGCCTTTATACTGTTCCGAGGAATTCCTTTCTGTTATGAAAACTATATGCTAATCTCTCATATCATGATTTATGGATAATACTTTAAAATAAACAGAATTTTTTAGCCATTTCTTCTTAGTGTTAGCAAGCAGTAAGGCATTTCATATAAGATTTATTTAAAAATTTAGAAATATTGATCTCCTCTTGAATATCTTTCTGTCTTCATATACGTAGAAGTGGTTAGCTAGCCATGTGTGTAGTATTTTTAGTCATATATGCAATATTCAAAAGAAGAAAATGAAACAAGTGGGAAACTTTATTTAAAGATTGCCTGCAGAGCCCAGTCAAATGCCCTTTCATAACTACTCACAAGGAACTTACTTCAAACGTTAAACACTTCGTCTAATCTAAAGTCTTCATTTTATCAGAAACACAGAAGGGAATATATAAATGGTGTTGCATAATAATCTAGTATTACAGATTAATTTTAAAAAAGAGGAAGTCAAAACTAAACCATTTTTTTTTCTTTCTAACTGAGGTATACTTTTTAAAATCTGAGAGAAAGAATGATATCATTTTGGAATTTTTGCAATAGCTGGTTTATTAGAATTAAATGCCTCTCTCAAAAAAAATTTAAGTACTTGGCTTGACATAATGAATAATCTATACAGAAAACCATTAATAATGGTTTGAGTTAAGCCAGCTTTAAACCTGGGTCTCGAGGATTCAACACTTTCTTCTGCCAGTTAACTTATTTTTTACTTGCAAATATATAAATTAATAACCTGATAGTTTAGTAATTATCAATATAATTTTATTTGATATGACTGTTTAGCTCTGCTTGATTAGATGAAACAGGCACACATGCTTCAGCTGAAATTTCCTTTTTCAGGCTCTCTGTAAAGCAGCAGAGAGGAAACAGCTACATCCCAGCAGTGGCTACACCAGGCTGTTTCCTGGAAATGCTTCCTTAACTTTCATCTTCAGACACTACTGGCTATTTTTTGGTAGGGCTAGACATTAATACTGACCAGTTTAGCTTTCCTGACTGTTTGCAAACTACCCTCGATGAACCTGCTCTCCCATTGCAGGCATCGTGGTGATCCTTTAACATATTCTAAAATATATGCTCAACGTAAAAAGATCCAAATTCACAAGAGTATGAAATATTTATAAAAAAATCATGCATCAGATTGTACACTCTAGAAATAAGATTCAAATTCAGTAATAAAGGTTAGAGCAAAGCTTGCTCTAAATATTTAAGAAAAACCTTAAGACTCCCAGGAGGTCCTAGCTCTCAATTGTCTTTTTCTGTTTGGAGAGAGGCAGCCGCCAGTGCTACGGCTGTGACCGGCTGTGCAATTCCGTGGAGCTGCATCTTTGCGAGTTTCTTCTGTTCACATTCTGTGACCAAGCGGTTCAGTTCTGCTGCACTGTATCCAATAAGAGTCTTCAAGTCACAAACAAATTTGTACACAAATCTCTTGCCTTGAACTTTACAAATCATGTCTCCATCATAATAATACCTTTAAAAACAAAAAACACATCAGGACCTTGTAAAACATAAAGAGTTTGTATTCACTACATTTCAGACTTTTCTACAAACAGAAACCTAGCCGTGTTCTGTACCCACTACAATAGTTAATGTTGACATCACAGAGTACTTAACATTACAAATCAAACTACAGAACATTACTTACAAAAAAATTTCAGTCCTTATTACTCCAAAATCTTATATATGAAACTTTCAAAATAAATTTTGAACAAGTGTGATAACATTGATTTAGAAACCAACAGAATTACTAAAGAGAAGAGAAAACAAAAGAGCCTTGGAAATGGCACCCAAACTTGACCCAGGGCTTTAAGCCAGAGACCATGCTGCAAAGCCTCACAACTGGACTTGCTGCCTTTGTGGTCACAGGGCCATCTTAGTTCCTTTAATCCTTTATTCCTCATCTATAAAATGAGGTTAAAACAGTACTTACCCCCACAGAATTGGTGAAAAGAGGGATAATCTTTATAAAGTGCTTAGCATACAATGAATACCACAGTTAACTCTGTATAAAATATAAGCTATGTTAACAAGAATCCAGATAACAAAAAGTTACAGATGGCTGTGAAGTCCACTTTTGTTTTATTTAAAATCTAATATGATATATGTAATACAATAAAGAAATACCTTCATCTTCCATTTATTATATAAAGGCTCCTCACATTGTGGAAAAATTCTCCAAACCATGAGGGGGGTCCCAAAAGAATAACTCTAAGGTCAGAAGAAACAGGCTACAGGAATAGAGGTGAAGGGCATCATAGAGAAGCACAGCTGTCCAGCCTACCACTACAGAGCAGACTTGGAGTCCGCATCAACCAAGAATTTGAATCTACTAACCACTAAACTACTTGTCATGCAGCTTAAAATACACGTTTATGATAAAAGACATTTGGGAAAGGAAAAAAGAAAGTGGTTTCATATTTCTAGGATGTAATTAGGGCTGGTGTGATTATCATTTCTTGGTAAAGGAAAAAAAGCACACACACACACACACACACACACACACACACACAAGTCTTAACTGTCTAGTACTTCCCCTCTTCAGTCTGTGTACACATCACAAGGCACCATATGGCAGCATGAACCACATTTGTTCACTCCCTACTTTATTACATGGCTGTAATAAAGTTACCTTTGTGAAACTAGCTTTTAAAACCTCTTAAATTTTGAACTCTATCCTAGAAATAGAAGAGACACAGAAGTTAGCACTTGCCTTGGCAATTCCCCACGAAGTGCTCACTCAGGTCTAGTAGCAGACTGCAGTGACTAGAGCACTCTGTCCTTTCCAACCATCCTTGTGCTAAAAGTGGAACCACAAGCTTGCTCCATGACAGGAGCTTCACTGCTTTTTTGTATTTTCTTCCTTAAAGGCATATCCATAAATACTGTAGTTTGCTTTTCCTATTCTATCAAACTATCCTAAGTGAACAAACTCATATGCTTCATTATACAGTTACCACACAGTCCTTTGAACCTAGACCCTTTCCTACCCTAAGTTAACACAGTCATATGCTATATTATACAGTTACTATACAGGGTTTTGAACCCAGATCTCTTCCTGACTCTGCAGCATTATCTGTGGCAGTAGTTCATCTTTAACACTTGAGTATATCACAACTGCTTCACTCTTTTGTCTGCTGATGGATATAGATAGGAGTGATTTCTGATTTAGGATGTTGTGTATGGACATTCAGACAGTTCTGCTTGGGGTCTACAAAGAAAAGTTACTTAGTAACTTAGCAGGGCATAAACTGCAGTCCACCCTGGACAGATCCTGGACAGGGCACCTCTGGCCACAGTGCGGAAGCACTCCCATAGCCTCACCAGCACCCAGTAGTAGGGTAGTAGAGGTCTTTCCACTTAAGATTATTCAAAGTAACTAGGGGAAATATTTCCAAGTCCTACTTCTGGATATTCAGATTTAGGCAGATGTAGAAGGGATAAAGCTGTAAATGTAATTGCCAAAATAGAAATTCATGAATTTGATATAATATATATTCATTATGTAAAGAGAATCTTTGTAATGCAAACTATAAAAATATTTAAGATTAATAAACAAGTTGGTATTGAAAAGAAATTATATACTTTTAAGTCACTTAAAACAAATAATCTTACAATAATCTTTTAAAAAAGCTTTATGCACCTCAAAATTGTAAAGAAAACACTTAAGTAATTTTTAACATGACACATAGGACACTTAGCTTTAAAATTTTTCTTTAAAATCTCATTCTCTGTTTATTCTCTGGGTGTGCATGTGTGTGTGAGCCTGAAGCCGGCTATTCTCCTACCATGTGGATTCAGAGAGGAAACTCAGCTATGCAGCAGGCTCTGGGGTGAAAATCTTTACTCACTGAGCCACCTCAGACACACACACACACACACGTGCTCACACATGCATACACACAATATACACACAATCTTAAGATAAAGTATTTCATTTTCATTACCCACCAGGTTTATATCAAGAATAAAAAGCTACATTTTTAGAGAAGTCTGATATTAAAAAAACAAAAAACAAACTCCTACCGTAATGCACGGCTAAGTTTCTCATAGTTCATGGTAGGCTTGTTTTTACGTTGTCCCCATTTTTGTGCAACCAATTCAGGTTGATTTAGCTTAAATTCACCTTCATCACCAACCCAAGAAATACAGTCTCGAGCATCCTTGTCAGTAAGAAGTTCTAGCAAAAACTGCCATAGTTGGATCTGACCATTGTTTCCTAAATCCGTAAGCAGAACAAGCAAAAGTCATGTTAGAAGCTAACACAGGTTAAAGGCAGTGCCCAAGCTCTCTGGTCCAATCTCAACCAAAGCAAAAACAAACTTCTCATTTTATAAATATTAGCTAAACACTGCCAGAAAGATGGTCCATATTCATACATTAATATATCTAATTTGACAAGTTGTCTAATACCAGTTCATGCAAAAATACCTGTTCTGTTCCCCGGTGAGCTTCTATCTTCTCCTGAAATCCTTGGGGATCGTTGTACTTTAGCTGCCTTTGCACTACTGTTTATAACTTTAATCGTAGTCGGTGTAGCAGAAGGCACTGATGCTGGAATAATCTGTACAGCTAAAAGGCAAAAAGGAAAATATATTTTCCTTTTAATACAGAAAGTAAAAATAAATGCAGTCAATAAAATTGACATTCCTCTAATTATGTTAAGGAAAGACTTCAGTTTGTGAATCTCAGCTTACAGACAGCTAGTTTTCCTATTCCAAAGTAGCAACCTAAAATGGCAAATATTCATTATCAGAACGCTACAATACATTTGTTTACAAAAATGGTTTAAACATGATGAGAATTTAAACTATTGAGAACTCACATTTGTTTTTAAGACTGTAAGTTCACAAGACCGGTGAGAAGGGCTGGGGCTCATTGGAATTGGAAGGGTAGAGATAGAAATTGTTGATACTAGCTTAAACTGACTCATCTGGTGAACTTTGCAGCATTTTTAGACATGCTATCATGTCAAAATGAATTGCAAGCATCAACAAAGCTAACTCTAGCAAGTGTTTAATAAGTCCACTCATCAAAGACTCAAGCACGCACACAGTCATGGCTATGGAGCACGTAAGGTGGCATAGCTGGTAGAAATAAAACCCTGAAAGAATAGTTGAGGATAATCAGTTCTCAGTCTAGAGACAGAAACAGGCCCTCAGGTAAGCCAAGCCAACACACATGGCTCTATTCCTGGTCTAATGGGCTTAGTTCAGCTGCTTCCATCCTCTGTAGTCAGAAAGTTATGTTGAAAGTTTTAACTGGAAGTTAACTAATAAAGAAACAAATGAATACTCACGCTGGTCAATTGTGACTATCTCATTCATCTGTTGCTCTTGGCTTGCCAAAACATCTGAAGAACACAAAAATTCATTTTTATTTAAAACCAAAAATACAATTCCTAACACAGTAAAAATGAATCTACCAAACACAGTCTTTAAAAAAGCTCCATGATTAAAAACAAAACCAGTAAAATAAGATATATATTAAACAACTGAAACTTTGTACAATAATATTCCTAAAGTTAAATTTTCAGCTGTCGTAAGTGCTATAGATTAATCAGTCATCTTTAAAATACTGATCTTATGAAAGACTTTTGCTACAGCCATATATTTGTTCATTCTATTAGCTGTGCTCCTTAGAGAATCCTGAATTAACAGGCCTTAAAAGACTCTTCTACAAAACCCTTCATTAAGTATCTGTCACTCTTCCCAGACCAAATGCTATTCTTACTGTCACATATTAAATATCCCAGTTTCTAGCACTTCAGACAACTAAGTCTATCAGAGCTCTGCCTCTCTATTAAAACTGAAGCTGTCCGTGATAACCCTGAGACTGAGTCATGAGACTGGGACTCCGAGAAGACTCTAAGGGTGTCCTTCCTGCCTGGGTTCAGTTTGGAGATCCGAGAGTGAGAGAGTTGGGAGACTAAGGACGACAAGGTCTGAAGCCTGCCTACTAGATGGAATTTTCTTTGGGGCTCGTAAGTTTGAGGGTTTAAATAATTATTTGAGACTAGCCTCAGAGAGGTAAGGGTTTAGAGCTTAGCAATCACTACCAATTAAGTAACATTTCAATCCCTGGATATTAATTTTTCACATCTGAATGAGATCTCACACACTTTACAAGGATATTCTGAATCTTAAAGAAAAAAGTTTTTAAGAAGCACACTACAAAGTTAACTTTTCAGTAAACTAAGGATTATTATGTTTTATTTAGATCTCTAGTTCTGAACATTCTACTCAGAACTGTTCTCTTAAAAACTTTGGTTTTTTTTTTTCTGTTTTTGGTTTGTTTTTTTGTTTTTTTCCCAAGATAGTGCTTCTCTGTGTAGCCCATGCTGTCTGGAAACTGCTCTGTAGACCAGGCTGGCTCAAACTTATAAGAGATCCACCTGCTTCTACCTTCCCAATGCTGGGATTAAGGGTGGGTGTCATCACCGCCTAGCTATAAGCTTTGTTTGTGGAATATTTTTCCTCAGTAGTTTTAAAAGTCTTATTGACAAAAAGTGTTATTAAAGCAAAAGTATTCTGCCACTACATGAATATAAGTAGCTTATCCTTAAAGGGAGACAAATTAGAAAGGAACCATTCATTAGACAGCCGAGACCCTGGCAACCTGTAAACTCAGCTCCAAACCCTTTTTCTCAGAGACTTGAGTTTGGTGTGGTTCTTAGGGACTCTCAAGGCTGAAAGCAGATTATAAGAAGTAATATATAAGAAAATATAGGAATCCTGAATACCATACTTCCTCTAAAGTCCCCCAAACCTTGGCCATGCATGAGAAAAGAAACATAACGCTTAAAAGCAAAGTCCTCAGGAGCATGGAACAGTGATGAGACATTAGGCCCTAGGGATGTGAAGCAGAACCAGTCCTTTTCCCTGAAGACTTGTTCTCTGCTGACAGACAGATGTTCTCATCAAAGGCATGCTGAAGAATTTGTATGCCTGGAATATTTCTTATGTGTCTTCCCCAAATATAACAGAACCTGACAGAACTTTTAACTTAGGATCTGCATGCAGGTAGGTCAAGTGCTAATCAAGGTACAAAAGGAATTCTTTCTCTTCAGACAAGTCCACAAGAGATCACTAAGGCTGACAAAGTGACAGGCTTAGCAGCAACAGTTCTGTCCTAGGAAACAGTACCTTTCAAATTATGCCATAGACCAGAAACTTTCTGCCCTGAGAAAGATTTAGGAACAATAAAAACTCTGTCAGAAACATCCTGGCAGATCATGCCTATTCTGTAAATGTGGAACTGGACCTTAGATTCTAAAACCAAATACCACTTCCTTAATAGAGCAGAGCAAGGATTCATGCGGGACAGGCAAGCAATTCTGTGAGATATTCATGTAGGCCGTAAAACCCCAGAGAGCAAAGCTTCTCTGAGAAAAACCCAGTCTACTGCAGAGACGAGGAAGAGGAAAACGAGACTCTTGTCTCCTGACTAGGAAAAGTAAATGAGAAATAACTTTTACAGTCTGAGAGACATCAGGTGAATCAGAAAGTGACAAGTACAAGAAAGAGTTGGTCTGGGAAAGACTGGGAAAACCATGACGTTACTCTAAATGCTATTATTGTAGTTCCAAGAATTCCAACAAGATAATCATGTTTGAATAAATACGATTCAGTTAAGACTCTGACATTGAATGGCAACCAAGACACTCAATTTACTCACGTTTAAGAACTGAAGCTGGTATCAACCCCACACAGCCAATGAATATAGTCAGTGTCTTAGTAACACTTCAAAAACCATCAGAGTCCATTCAAGAGGGGCCAAGTACAGTGCCTTTCCAGAGCTCATCTCTTCGTCAACGGCAGAGATGAACCTTGGGTAACAATGCTAAGCATCGAATTACTGTTTAAGATTCTCTTTCCTCATCAGGTGGATAGCAGAACAAAGTACAAGCCATGACATTTCCATAAAGAACTCTTAGAAAAAGAACAGAATCTATCCCACTTATAAACAGAAAATGATGGAGGTCTGGCTAGCATCGCAACATACAAAACAGTATGAAGCGATGAACTGCTGGTAAGATAGCTTAACAGACACCTTAAAACTTACTACAATATGGAGTAAAATAAACTAAAAATTTATACTTATTTGAACTTTTTGGTCAGCCAGGTAGTTTCTAAGTTTTCCTCAGAAAAGTTTTGCTCTAGAGTTTTACAGCTTCTGTAACTCTCTTAAAAATCTTATTTATTCAACTAGGAAAAGCATATTAAAATGCCTAATCCCACAAATAAAAGACTAGGAGGGAAATCTGCAATCCAATGATATTAAAGTTTCTAGAAATGCAGGTGATTAGGGAAAGATAAGGCAATGATCAGAATGTATATGAAAGACTAAAGGTGAAGGCTCGTGTAAGATTTTAAGAACGTGGGTTCTATGCAGGCTCACACCTGTAATCCCAGCCACATGGGACTTGGCAGTAAGAGAATCTTGAGTTGAAGCTAGACATGGCATGTAGCAAGACCTGTCTCAGAAAGACACGCAAAAAAGAGAGAGACCTTGGAATGTGGTATAAGCCCTGGTTAGAAGCTTAGTTTGGAGTTTGGATAGTCCCTATGTCTAACTCTCTGTAGGGATCTTACAGCCTCACAGCCTCAGTCTCTCCCATAAAAACTACAAAAAAAAAAAAAAAAAAAAAAAAAAAAAGGAAAGTAACAGTCATGGCATTACTATAGGTACTGAGATAATACATAACAAACTCTTCATACTACCTTTAACAATATTAATTATTATAGCTTAAGTGTTTGCTTATTAACAATTAATAAAATGAAAACAAAGTTACAAAAATAAAATTAAGCTTTAGTTACAATGCAAATAAATAATAATTCTAATTTTATACATTTTCGAAGAAGCTCCAGATGACTCCAGAGAATTTCTCCCCGAGGGACCCGCTGAAAAAAATCTTCTTGGTTGAGACTACATAATTCTCTTCCCGAAATGTTGAGTGTGGTGAGGTCTATATCAGTCATGCTGAACTCCTTCATTACCCAAACCACCCAATGCAGGACTTGGTCTGTGGACCACTGTATAGGATCTAGAAAGAAAAATATTACCTTTAGCCTGGTTCCATCTTAGATAAATTTACAGTTAATTTCTCAATACACATATATACACATATGAAACCCAGACAGGTGTTTTTCCCAAGTGAAGCAAACTGATTTTGTGAAGAACAATTTTTATGCTGATGCTGTATTTTCTCCTCCATTCTTTCTCAATCTCAGTTTCCAATTAGGAACCAAGGAGTTGCTCGGTTCTACATCAGTTAGTCTGGAATTTTATCATGACAAACTGTAAGATTGTTCTCTGGTGGTCAAATGACAGCTAAACTATAGTATCTTGGAGATAATGGAGGATACTACCCAAGCTCAAAATATTATTTTGTGGCACTGTATGGTTTGGTGCCTTGCAAACATTAAATGGTATACTAGGGAGCTCACCGCACTCTTCACATTGTATACAATGCACCCCCTCTCCAACCCTTCCAATAACAAGCTGGTTACTGTGTATTTGCCCTTGGTGACACTTATGGCATGCTAACTCCCTGTTCACTCAACTGGCTCCCAGTGGCTTCAAGTCCATAAGTCTAAGGACTGTGTGCTTTTAAACCAGATTTTAGTCTACCACAGTGACTTGAATAGGCATTTGTTGAATGTACATAAAACACACACAAATTATTTCATGTTGTCTGTTATTTTTATAAGCTAACCAAATTTGCAAGCAGATAATTAAAGACTGCCAGTATATCTAAAGATTGTATCACTATATTCCTGGGATCTAATTGAAGATATTATTTGTGGACACTTAATGCTGAGTTAATTCTGGCACTGGTACTCTTGCTTTATTTAAGATGATGGTTTACTTAAATAGTACTGACCATATACCCAATAAATGAGTGTTATTTAGTAAGAAAATATGTGAAAAGGTAACAATTAGACAAGGAATAATTTATAGTAAAAATAAACCAAAGAAAAATATATAGGCTTGAAAGCCACAAAGAAGAGAAAGGAGAATGTCTAGGAAGATGAGAATATAGTTTATTTTCTCTGAATGTACACAGAAAAATAGAAAAAGTAACTAAGGCAAAACCAGGAACCCATAGATGCTTACAAACCCAAACAAACACCCAGGGGACAAATTATCTACCACAGATCCCATACTCTACTCGGGTGAAGACAAAGCAATCTTATGAGGTCCTGGGTGTGGTTATACTCTTGTAACCCCAACTGGGGTGGCTTGAGGGCAGCTTGGCCAACAGTCAGTTTTCATCTCAGGAAGGAAAAAAAAATCTACAAGAGCTCTAAGTTTCCAAACCTATGCAGAAGCAAAATGACCACAGGAAGCCTGACTGGAGCCAAGAAGTAGTCCCTGAAAGCACAGCAAGCCAAGATAAAAACCAAAACTAAAGAACAATTTTCCTTAGGCAGCAGCAGCTGAATGCAGGGCCTAAAGGGAAGGAATGAAGAATGAAAACAGTGAGAAGCCCAGAGATGAGAGCAGGGAACTGCACAGAGAAGCCTCTGGCAAAGGGGAGGAAAGAACAAAAGGGAAAATAAACCATGCCTATAAACCTGATGACCTGGGAGTCTGAGGCAGGAGGATCATAGGTTCAAGGCCTGCCTGAGCATTAAGGAGACTATGTCTCACAAAAGAAAAAAGGAAAGAAAAAAAAGAAAGAAAGGGAAAAGAGGGGCTGAGGATATGATTCAGTGCTAGAGTGTTTGTCAAGCATCTGTGAGTCCATGGGTTCAACCCCCATTATAGCCAAAAGAGAGGAAGGAAAGAAAGGGAAAGAGACAGGATGGGGATGATGAGCATATGAGTGAATAAGGCAGCAAACAAGAGGTGGGAAAGTAGGAAGCTCAGCTCTAGAGTGCTACCTGACAACACCTAAGGTGGCTTGGAGTCAGCCAAGCTACCAGGAACCACACCTTCCTTTCAAATATTTAAGAAAGCAGACTCATTTTACATAAAAAAATTTACAAGACACTATTAAGATCAAGTAAGGTGGGAAAAATATCAATCTGACTTGTTTTCCTTAAATACTACCAGGACAACTGGTTTAATATATTGAATTGACTGTGTATCTTGTCTCTTTTCTCAAAGTAATAATGAAATACCAGAAAAGCAGCATTGTTTTGTTTGCTTTTTTAAGATGTGTATACACAGGAACTCAGATATAAAATCAGAGTTGTAGGGGAGATTCAGCTAGTTCTTAAAATCAACAAGGTGGGCAACAACCTATTTATTCAGTAAAATTATGATCAAGTGTCTGTACAGGAGGAACCCATTATAAAATGAGAATTCTTCCCTTCAAAATTTATATTGCTCAGGTTTTGCTAACTCTGGACAGCAAGAAGGGCAGGGGTACTCATTTAGTAGGGTGAGACTGTTCTTTTAAGAATACACAATACAATGAATAAATACTAATGCATAAAATACGATGAAGGAAAAGATTCTTTCTCACTATAACCAAACTAAGATAAAGACCAGACACAAAGAGCAGAGAAAGAGCCACAATGCTCAAGAACTTGAGTTAGGTTGCCTTTGAATGTTTCATACAACACTAATGGAATGGTGTCATTAAAGTAAAAGTGAGCTTTAACGTGCTATACAGACAGTACCATAAGCAGAGCAGAGTAAAATAAATACTGTTTGGAAGTATAAAGTCAAGCATCTTTTGAAGGAACCCTTTCTAGAGAATTTGTAAACAGAATCAAAGAATAGTGGCTGGAGAACTGGCTACAGCTGCAAATATGGGCAATGGAGGATGCAGCCAAACATCAGAGAACAGGGGCTCAGAGGACAGCTCTGGACACACAGAGACTGCATCCAGATAGATGTGAGAAAGAGAAAAGCCAACAGCTCACTACTCAATGCAGGAGAAAGAAGGTCTTCACATGTACCCAAACCTATGGACCTAAAAACAGAACAGTTAGAGAAGGCTGAGCAGGACGACAGCTGTGAGTGAGGACAAAGGCAAGCTGGGCTACAGGTTGAGTTCTAGGATAGCCTGGGCTAGAATGCCAGACAACTAATCAAACAACAAAAATGAAGTCACTACTCAACTTGGAAACTTAACAGTTGTCTAACTACACTCACGGTTCTACCACAAATGAGCAGTCCTAAAGCCAGGAGACACTTAAACGAAAGTTACAAATCAGTTTGTGAAAGAGAGGGAAGCCAGTGCCTGCAATTCCAGCAAATGGGGAGGCATGGCTGGATGACAAGCTTCAAGTCCATCCTGGCAACATATGCAGACTTCACCTCAAACAACAAAGCAAACCAAACTATATCCATCACACCACACGCAGCAGCAAGCTGCCAACATAAAAGCAAAGTCTTACTCTGTTGTGTGTCTCCTTCACTAAAGGCGAGCAGTGACAAGTCAAGGCCGTGAAGTAGAACCCAGGCTAAAGAGGAGGAGAGAGAAAGGGGGCAGAACTGGCTTTTCTATCAGACTTGTGACAGAAGTCTAAACAAAGGAGCTGACCAATGTGGAGAAGACAGAGCTACAGAACTGAACAGCCCTTAGATACAATCTTTAATACTTTTTGTATGTGAATATATGTTTATATTTAAGATTCTACATGTTGGAATCTGGCAAAAACATGAATTTGCTCTAAAAAAAATTTGTAGCCTATCATTTCAATATTCGTACTTCATAAAAGAAAAAGTACATAATTGACATTGAATTGGTTTTTGTTTTAACATTTTGTATAGCTAATCTCTTTGGATAGATTTCTAACTACAGTTATTAATTTCATCTTCAGATTAGTTGGCAATACTAATAATATTCACACATAAAACCAGATGAGTGAAGAAGTGTCTAAGCTGCTGTCAAGATAGAAAACTGGTTCATATTAATGTGAACTTCAGGGACTTTCTCAATATGGGTCCACATTTCAAAGATTTAAAGTAGCTGTAACTAGTTAATTATATTTCAGTGTTGCTTGGAACTAATTAATTAGTCAAGGGAACTGCATGTAGGTATAGAAAAAGAAGAATTTTATCAATGATGATATCAAGTGTTTTAAATGTACTTTTAAGTAAATGCCACTCTTGGTAGGACCTTAAGCCACAGTGAATCAATCCTCTTGCTACCTGTGGTCATTATGTATTATTTCCTGAAGCTCTACTACTAAAGAACCAGTAATACTGTGTTCTTCTCCACGTTGCTTCTCTCAAAAGACTATGGCTTTTATGGCTCTAAATTACAATTTCAGTATAAATGAACTGCATACAGATCTGTATCTCTAGCCTGAGATTTGTGGCTCTGAAACAAATTGTGTACTTTACTTCAAAGCCAAGTGCTATCAACACCCTTAAGAAATCTTTCCCATACCAAAAATGCCATCTTCCTCAAAGACTTTCAAATGTATGCCTAGAGTTATGAATCTAATTTAGATGTCAAGTGCTTGCCTAGCAAGCCTCAGGCGTTGAAGCATTAAGGAAGGTGTGCTCTGTTCTTCTGTATCATCATTAGCCCAGAATTTACCAGCACATATAATGATGCTGCAACCAATTAGTTTCAAAACTATTGCTCTAGATACTCAAGCTTGAGAAGCTAGCTCAGTACTTGAATATCCTCTCTCATGTTCACAATCTGTTGTCTTCATCACAGTTTTCACCTATCTTTTCCTGTTACCAACGAAACCATCTCGTCTAAGCTAATCTGGACAGTATTACTATTGTACAAATGACAACAATACGCTTTTGTTTTCTCTCCACTCAGTCATTATGTATCTAATGGGACAAATGAACATTCATTTTTCAGTTACTACATTCACTAATCAAGAACGTTCTACGGTGTCAGAGATTAACTCTTTTTTTTTCTTTTTTGGGTTTTTCGAGACAGGGTTTCTCTGTGTAGCCCTGGCTGTCCTGGAACTCACTCTGTAGACCAGGCTGGCCTCGAACTCAGAAATCCGCCTGCCTCTGCCTCCCGAGTGCTGGGATTAAAGGCGTACACCACCACCGCCCGGCTCAGAGATTAACTCTTAAGCCCACAGATTCCTGGTGCTCTTGCATCCATCCTGGTCTAAGCTTGTTCTCAGTGTCTCCTGTTAAACACCCTTCATGGAAGTACAGTTCTCAGAATAAACCCACCCCCACTTTCTTCAGACTAAGGTCCCTACAACACTCCTTGTTTTTTGAGAAAGGGTCTGTTACATAAGCCTAAGCTTGCACTGAATTTGTGAACTACTGCCTCAATTCCATTTGGCATTCCTCAAAATATTCAGCTTGATTTCTGTAAGGCTCTAAAGACATGCTTTGTTTGTATTTGTTATTGACTTACTAATTATTAGTATTCATTCAAACTTTATGACAATCACCTTTTTTCAATTATCTTCTTTCTCTCCCACTATACTGTGAATGTGCTAAGGGTATAATGTCTTCTAATAATTCTCTGTATTCCTAGAAATCAGCATAGTATTTGTTCATCATGTGTTCTGAGTATGTTACAGTTCAAAACTAGTTAAATAAATAGAAATCAAAATTCTTTCTATAAAGTCTACATTAAAAAATGTTCTATCATCTCTCAATGGTGTTTCGTATTGCTAATTTAACCTACAGTACACCTAACCAACAGCTGTCTCATTACCATAGGGGATCCCAAGACGCTCCTGTTCTTTTCTGTAGCCTTCCAGTGCAGCGGCCCATCTCGTCACTTGCTCCGAGGTCTCATCTGAAATGGTTGTAATGTGTTTGGTGCCATCAAGAGTTATCACTTGAGCTTCTTCAACGAGATGCGCTTCTGCTTCTGCATGGTGGGCGTCTGGATCAATGACCACTTCGACTGTTTCCGCAGTCTTAACAATTTCAAGAATGTTTAACTTTGGCTCAATTCCTAACAGCAGATAGAAACAAAAGTTCAAATGTAAATAAAACCTGAAGTCACAAAGAAATGAAATTTATTTTTCCACATGAGAAAAAAAAAGTGATGTTCTTAAAATAGTGAGAACCTGAAAAGATCCTTATTGTCAATACATACAGTTCAACAGAGACAGTACTGTGTCAAATTAGTTTTCTGATTTTGGTAATTATAATGTGATTAATAAAAGAATGCATAAGTACTGCTTTATGGCAATGCTGGGGATCGCACACAGGGCCTCAGGCCTCTGAGGGAAGTACTCCAGCAATGGGCTGTATGCCCAGCCTAAGACTCTTGTGCTTAAGGAAACATGGGTGCTCATATGTTTAGAGATAGAAGAGAATCATGCCTGTAATTTATCTTGAAATAGTTGAAAAATAAAAATGTGTATTGAAGGAAAAAGTAAAAGCAAACGTAATAAAATTTAACACCTATGTAAAGAATACCTAAAAATTCTTTAATTGGTGTTGAAAATTTTAGCAGTAACTCGACAAACATTACCTAAAATTACCATATAGGGAAAGTGCCACTTCTTATAATAGTGAGATATAAAAAAAGTATTGACATGAATTAAAAAACCAGAAACTATACTAGAGTACATAAATGAGTAGCTACACATTCTAAGATTTTATAGACTTTCTAAGAAAATTAAAACGAAGTCACTCCCCTAACCCTGCCCATACACACTTACAAACTAGATTGCATACTGCCCAGGCTAGCCACAAACTCACTACAGAGCTTACGATCATACCAAACTTCTTATCCCCCGGCTTTTGCCTCCCAAGTATGAGGATTACAAACCACTGTGCTCAGCTCTGTCTGCTTTCTTTTCACTTTATTTGTGTGGGGATATGTGTGTGTACTGGGTGGATGCATGCGTGCACATGAAAATCAGAGTTGATATGGGACCTCTTCCTCTGTCTTTCTCTACCTTGTGTTTTGAGTCAGGCTGCTTCACTGGATCGGAACCTTATCAATTCATCAACAAGCCCCAAGGATTTTCCTTCCTCTGCTCCCCAACACTGGAATTTTAGGTAAGTACCATTGTGTCCAGCTTTTTACAAGGTACTGGGCATCTGAACTCAGGTCTTCAAGCTCGCTTAATAAACAGTTAACAGATTGAGCCACCTCCTCAGCCCCTTTGCCTTCCAATCCTAAAACTTTTCTGACTTTGTTCAATTAAATTCAAATCAATTAACCCCAATCCTAAAGACATCCAAGCCTGATATTAGAAACTGTAGTTCCTATGGAAAGGAAAGAAATACAGATGAAGTGATTTATTACTACAAAGAGTCTTCAATGGAGATGTAGTTATGCCAAAACTTAAAGCTATTGCATAAATCAGAATTACATTTAGAAATTGTACCCTAAGAACAATGGTATATAACTGTAGTAAGATATAGTATTTATTAAAAATATAATAAACTGTTCAGGGCAGGAATGGTGGTAAAGATGATAAAAAAATACCATGAAATTCTCACAAAATAAAAATATTTGAAAACATAGCTCTTTATGGTAATTCATCTTCTTTACTGCTGTTCAGTACACACTACCGTCTGACTTGCATGCAGCGTCCTATACATTCAGCTTCACCCTCACAGACAGAACTACTAAGAAAAGCATGAGATCACACAAGTTATCTGGACACTCATCTTAAATACCTTCAGCAGATAAATTTTAAAAAACCAGAATAACATGAGCTAAATTTTTCAATACCTGGCAATGAAGGTAACTTACCTTGGTAAGAAATTACCTGTACACTAAGCTGTACAGTCCCATCTGTTTTCACTCCTTGATCAAACAAGCTTCGGTCTGGATCCAGCTTAACATAGGTAAGTAAAATTATTTTAGTTCAGTCATTAAATAAGTTACTGTCTATGGTTTAGTATAAATCATTGTACTGTTTCTGAGCATACTAATTAAATTTTAAGAATGCATTTAATTATCAAATTTGTCATACATTTATTTGCTAAAACTAAAAGTAGTTTCACCATTGAGAGCATAATGGAGGACAGCAACCCTATCAAGTCCCTTCTAGTGTCCTGGTCCTGTAGACTACAGGCAAGGCCTCACACACAGGTCCCAGCGCACCTTCTGCAGCCATTCATTCCCTGCCACTGAGAGACTATGTGCAGTGGCAGCTTTCTATGGGAGCTCTGCAATCTCTGCTGGGACCTTAAATAACACAAATAGCCATGTCTTCATTCTATGGATGCATCTAAAGTACAAGATAATGCAATGTTTATCATAAGAAAGGATGTTAATTAGTGGCTGGCAATTTATCTACATTTGCTAACATACTCGTGTCATATCTCCCTTGTAACTAATGTCACTTATTAAAATTTAGGATTAATTTTAAAGGCTCTGTTCACAAAGGTAATACAACTAAAGGCTTCATGGCCTGACTCCCAGATCTACTCTAGTCAGACCCATAGCCTTGGAACTCTAATGTTCTTTCCCTTCAGATCTCCTTCTAGTGAATGCATTTTCTACCATGGCTTACTAATAGAATAAAAATAATTGTGACTTCTGACACTTGACCACTAGCTTGAAACAGGCTTCTATCATATCCATCCTATGTCTAGATATGGCTACATATCCTGTTGAACATGCAAGTCTCCTATCACTCTCATCACTAAGAATTCAGCGACAATATAATCACAATTTCAGTTACTTACAATGTCTTATATATAAAACCTACAGTGTTAAGTGGACTTCATATTTTGAGCAGGAACAAAACAAACTGTAAACACCTTGCATTGACTAACTGTGACAGTTTCTACTACTTAATGTAAATCTTTTTCTGACACTTAAAAATTCTCTTAACCTCAAGATTTTCCTGATTCTAGAAGATACTAGCATTATCCACTAGAAGCTATCTTGAAAAGCTATCTTGAAAAGTAAGCTCTCAGGTCCTAAATACAGCAGCACGCTATGAAAAAGACAAGGCTCCAGCATGTACTATATTCTTCAAAGAAGTGCAACTCAAGGATTGTTAGAGGAGCTTTCAAGTTGGCATTTATCTGACGATACAAAGGTATTCCCAGAAGTGACAGCCCTCTGCTGTTAAACACATGCTTGCACTGACTTGAGTAATACAAGCTAGCATGCTTTGTTCAGGTGAGCAGAGGTACCAGATGGGATGTCAAGTGTCATAGACCCAATGAGAACTCTCCGAGTTAATGATTTACACATACTTCCATTTATTGAGAGAAACTATGATACAGTAAGTACTTTGTAGGCCTTCTTTCATTATGGCTAAGCTAGGTATTCTATCTATCACAGCGGAATATTACTAAAACAATGGTAATTTTAAAGACTGATACAATTAAATGGGATCGATTGGAAGTGTTCTGTAAGAACTTAACTTTGTATGCTCTGTCCTCTAGATATAGCTCACTTTTAGTAAATACTTTCAATTCTGAATTTATTTAGTAAATTCTGGTTTTAAAAGATTTGTTCTTAACTTTCTGGAAAAACATGAATAAGGATCTTTATAAATGTACCACTACCCACGTGGGTGGCGGCTGAGTATTAAGTAGGAATAATTTCTTGCTGTGGAACTCTTGGTCACTTTCCACTTCTAGTAAGATACTAAGTACCAACTGCTATCAAAAGACCACTTTATCTTTCACTACTAGGAAGAAAACATGTTGCTTTAGGTACATACAATTATCGTCAAACTTTGAGGGCAATATCCAATCACAATTAACATTTACTAGATATATATTGAAAGAAAAAGATTACGATATGGTAAATGGGAACTAATGCATAAATTCCATTAACATTTCAATTTATAACAGAATCTTGTGAACTAGTAACTGCAGAGGATCTGAATTTTTAAAATAACAAGGCAGGGTTTTCTAATACATTGAAAAAATTGTATCAAAAGACAGGCAGTCATTGGACAACAACAGGGGGACCGGAGCCACTACAAGGTCCCCTTCAAGAACTGGAGGTCAGGCCTCTATCCCCGTCTTTGCAAGATTAGATTCGTCACAGCCCTTCTATACTTGGAGAAGGGAGGAGATGTCAGGGGCAGCCCTGCTTATACACTGAAGGCCTAAAATCAACCATAGGCCTAAAATCAGCAATAGGCCTGTCATACATGTATACTAACACCAAGTCTTGGGTCTCTGTGGATAAATACTGAAACAGATGGCTATAAGCTATTGTAAACAGGCAGTTTTTGTGACAATTTACCAGCCTGAGTAGTCATAGACCTTGTAAATAGGTACCCTTTGTGGATAATACCAACTTAGATAAGGACAAGCGAATCATAGGTAGAGCCATAGCGACCTGTTCCCTGAACTTTCACCCAGCCAATACCCTGTTCTGAAAGATATCTGTATTCCCCCTGAACACCCACACTCCAGTGTCATCCCCTTCCCCACATCCTGCCTTTCTGTGTTTATAACCCCTGTGTGAATGAGTATAAATTACAATTTAAAAAAAAAAGAAAGAAAAAAAAAAAAACCAAAAGACAGGCAGGAGGATTACAGACAGTAAAGACTAAAGCAAAACAAACAATTCAAATAATGACAAATACATTCACATGCTAATGTGAGAAAAGTATACAGAAGATGCTCGTATCTGTGAGTTTAAGAAAAGTTATGGAAAGTACTTAAGCAATCTTACTACATAAAAGTAGTGTCTTCTGAGAAAAAAATGTAAAACAGGTCTGTGAGGATGCTTTAAACATATCACAACAATGGGAAATCCTAATGCAGTTAATGCCAAGAAACACCAACTAGTATTTAAACTTTACTACCAATTAAAATATAAAAGAAAAAACAATTCAGTCAAGGGATCTCATTTTAAAGGTAAAGAAAACTCACATAAAGTAAAGTTCAGTCAGTCAGCACAAACTTCTTTAGTTTCCAGGGTCAATGTGCTCCCCACTACTCCATTTTTAATTTCATTTCCATTTTAATTTGATTTCTTACTCATGAATGTAAAAAGAAATGAGTGATTTATTATTCACTCATTCCTATTTTATTACTCAACCTTTTAAATTTTAGATACAAGAAATTTGTTGAAAGAATTTTCATTTCTAAATGCTCAAATTTTATATCATAGATCAAGTTTATAGCTATCTATAGAGATGAACCTTACCTGAATATCTTGCAGGCAAATTTCATGGGCATCCAAAGAACACTGTAGTCTTGGTTCTAGTAGTTTCTTTAAATTGCCTATTGGTTCATTGATGTCTATGGCCTGGCTTACACATTCAGCTGGGGTATAGGTTTGTTCCACAATGCTAAATGTTAATGGAGAACAAATGTTAATAATTACATGTCACCCTAACACTTTGTTCTAAACAAAATCAATAGCAAAAGCATACATGATCTTTGAGACCCTCTTCTTTCCTTACTACATTCTGAACTCATTTCTTTCTGTTTGTTTTTTGATAAGGACAACATTTAATGGAGCTGGCTTACATTATCATCAAGGAAGGAACATGGCAGTGTCCAGGCAGGTATGGTGCAGGAGGAGCTGAGAGTTCTACATTTTTTTTTAAAAAAACATAACACGCTATTGGTCTTTTAATGCAGGAAAATAACCAGAAAATAACACAAAAATACTTTTAAAAAATACAGCATCACACATGAAAATATTTCCATAAAATGTAATCTCTGCTTGAACTCTGTACTTTTCAGTCCTCTTTGGATTTATATTCAGAATTTACACATTCTCCTGGGGGTGCAGAGTCACTTTCAGCCAGGGACCTGCAATGATCAGCCTCTTCCTGAGAACTGAACAGGACATTTCCTGTTAGACATTCAGTACTTCAAGGCTAATATTTAATCTTAATTGGCAAAAAGTTTAGTGCAAATAAAGTTATACTTAGCAGCTTAGCAAAGTTCTGGCGTTGTCAGCTGTCCCTCCAGGATCTGGATGATTCTGTGGATCAAGAGAGCCATGGCAGCGAGGAGAGCAGCAGTGGACCCAAAGAATCTCCTGGAACCCCCGAAGAGGGGCTGCAACCTGTCTTGAGAACTTCCTCTTGGGGTGAACTCAGGAATCCAATTGAGGATCTGTCTGTGCCACTAAACAAAGGCAGCCCCTGCCTGATCCAGCGGGGCCTCAGGAATAGAGGGAATGCACCCAGTTTTTGGAAGGTCCCAACAGTGGCTAAAAGCCTTGAAGATCACCACCAAGAGCCCTTCCTTGTCCCCAAGTTCCAGAGGTCTGTCAGGAGGAGCTCTCAAACAGGGAGAACCAAATCTCCCTCATCCTCAGATGAGGAGCCTCGAGGACTTATTGAGAGTTCTACATCTTCATCTGAAGTCAGCTAGCAGAATACTGACTTCCAGGCTGAATGGATGTCTTAAAGCCCACACCCACAGTGACACACCTTCTTCAACAAGGCCACTCCATGGGCTGAGCTTAAACAAACGATCACATTCCACTCCCTGCTCCCTATAGGCTTGTTCAAACATAAGAGCCTATAGGAGCCATACCTAAATATAGTGTACAGCAAAATACATTTAGTCCAACTTCAAAAGTTCCCATAGTCTACAGCGGTCTCAACAATGTTAAAAGACCAAAATTCAAAGTCTCTTCTGACATTCATCCAATCACTTAATGTAATCCACAAAGCAAGACAGGAAACCAGCTGGGCACACTTCAAACTCTGCATCTCCATGTCTGATGTCAAAGCAGTCTTCAGATCTCCAATTCCTTTTCCATTTTTGTTGATTGCAACAAACTTATTTCTCCTTCCCTGGTCCCACTCCATTGGCAGCTTTACTCAGCAAATAGCCCATGGCTCTGGCATCTTGAACATCTTGGGATCTCCAAGGTAACTTTGATGTTATAGCTTCTTGTTTCAATGTCTGGGATCCACATGTGATCTTCTGGGCTCCACCATGGGGCTGGCGTCACTTCTCCAGCTCTGCCTTCTGTAGCACTCTAAACTCAGGTTGACCACTTCATTGCCGCTGCTGTCCTTGGTGACCATACCATGGTACTAGCATCTCCAAAATGGCAGGGTCTTCAGATACGAGGCTTCACAAATAGCTTCTCATAGGCTCTCTTCATGGTGCTAAGCCTCAACTCCTTTGCATGACCCCTTCAGTCCTGGATTATCAACTGCAACTGAGGCTGCACCTTCACCAATGCCCTTCCATGGCCTCTCACACAGTGCCTAGCCTCAGCTGCCCTTCATGACCTTCAAAACCAGTACCACCTGGGTGACTCTTACACATTATCAAGTACACCTGCAGTACAAGGTACAACCTTGGCTATCTCTGGAACACAGCTTCTTTATGTTCTCAGAAATCACTTCTCAGAAGATTTCACCTCAGTGATGGCAGTCTCTCTTTTTTTTTTTTGGTTTTTTCAAGACAGGGTTTCTCTGTGTAGCCTGGCTGTCCTGGAACTCACTCTGTAGACCAGGCTAGCCTCGAACTCTCGAATTCAGAAATCCACCTGCCTCTGCCTTCCAAGTGCTGGGATTAAAGACGTGCGCCACCACTGCCCGGCGGTCTCTTTCTAATCACCACTAATTTCTTAGCTCCAGCTACCCAGCATCAATTGTCCCAGTAGTCCCTTCTGTTCTGGACTCTAAAGCCAGAGCCACATGGCCGAAGCTGCCGAGCTCTGCTGCTTGCCAGTGCTGGAACATATAACCCTTGTTTTATTACATAATCACCAGCTTTCTGTTTTCCAACTCCTGGAACTTGTTCTGTAGACTGACTTTGAACTCAGAGATCTGCACGCCTGTCTCCTAAGTACTGGGGATTAAGGCCTACCAAGCCTGGATTTAAGTTTTTCTTCACCTATCTAGAACTTGCTCTGTTCTAGGCTGGCCTTGAATTCAGAAATCTGCTTGTCTTTGCCCCCTGGGATTAAAGGTTTATACTACCATGCCTGGACCTAAATTTAGTTGGGTGGGATCTTGCCCCAAGGTCACTACTCCCTTAATTCAATTTAATATCCTTGAACAGAGGATTCAGCTCCATTTCACTTCCTGGTGTCCCTTTAATACTCAAACCATATATTTTGTACTTTTCCTTTCTTAACTTGCTCCTTTTCATTAAAATGCTCTTCATAAGAGTGAACTTTAGTAGCCACACAACAGAATTTACACCAAGCTGTTTTGAGACTTCCTTTGTCAATACAATTAATCTAAGTCTCTCCACCTTAGCCTCAGGCAGACTCTTCAGGAAAGGGCAAAAAAGCAGCTATATTCTTCCCCAAAACATCACAATAATAGTCTCTCTGCCACATACGAAATTCTTCTCCACTGAACCCTGTTGGGCCAGGTCTGCACAGTTCAAATCACTCTCAGCAACAAAGTCTTCCATATTCCTTCTAGGATGGCCCATTAAGCCACACTTAAAACATTCCATTGCTTTCCAAATCCAAAGTCCCCAACATCCATATTCATCCAAACAAAAACATGGTCAGGCCTATTACAGCAATACCCCAGTCCCTGGTACCAACTTCTTAGTTAGGGTTTTACTGCTGTGAACAGACACCATGACCAAGGCAACTCTTATGAGGACAACATTTAATTGGGGCTGGCTTACAGGTTCAGAGGTTCAGTGCATTATCTCCAAGGTGGGAACATGGCAGTGTCCAGTAAGGCATGGTACAGGAGGAGCTGAGAGTTGTACATCTTCATCTGAAGGCTGCTAGCAGAATACTCCTGAACTCATTTCTATTTCGATGCTGTGTTAGACTCAACTAGCAGTCTCAATATGAACATTAAATCTCATAGCTAACTTGAAGCTTAAAGCACTCTTGAAAACATGCTTAGTTATGCATAAAAATGTATTTACCAGCACATAAATAAATACTAGACACACTATTTAAGGGGAAATCTCTACCTTTATATTATAGCCCAAGTTATTTTCAAGAATTTAAGGCCCAGAACCATGGCAATAAATTGTGTCCTTAGAAATCTATACAATTTGTTGGGATGGTGGCACAAGTCTATAGTCATAGCACTTGGGAAGAAGACACAGGAGGGTGAGGAGTCCAAGATCATCTACCATCCTCAGTTCCATGAAGAAACATAAACCAGCCTGGGCTACATGAGACCCCATCTCAAAACCAACACCAAACCAAACCAGAGTTTTTTATATATCATTTCTACTAATCAATTAATAAGATGTAATAATATAAGTCAAAGTCAAATACTTCCAACTTAATTTAAATACTAACCAATTATTATAATTAGCCTTACTTGGTATTATTCTAATTATTATAATTTTCTATTATATTGCCTCTTAAATCTTACTTAGAGCTCCTGTAGACTGTTATTTCACAATTCAAATAGGTTTGAAGCCTTGATAAGTAATTGTGCATATTTCTTTGTAAATGCTTACAGGAGGGCAAGGAAGAGACTGAAAAAGTAGTATTTAAGGAGTAAGTTTCACAGCATACTTACTTTAAATATGAGTTAAACCTCTCTAAAGTTACTAAAAATATGTATAAAAAATAAGTGCGATATGGGGGCTCAGAAGTTCTGAGCCTTGGGGTCAGGAGCTGGTTTCAGGTGGCTCATGTGCACCTGCAGCTCCAGTTCCATGGTGATATAAAGCTTCTGCCTCTGCTGGCACCTGAACTCACCTGCATATAGTCACATCCACACACATAATTAAAATTAACTAAAACTCAATCTCCTAATAAAATAAAACATGAATGCGTGTCCAGGGAAATGGCTAAGTAGATGAGCACTTGCTGTACATGTTGAGGCCCAGAGTTCAGATGCTCAGAACCCAAGGAAAGCTAGGTATGGTAGCACACAGCTCACCAGTGTCCTTCGGTAAGATGGGAGAGAAGACAGGAAAATCACCAGAAGCCTACAGGCTAGCTGGATGGCCTACAGGCCAGCTGGATGGGCCTAGACAGCAGCAAACACAAGAGATCCTGTCTAAATAGGATGGATGATGAGGACCAATACCTGAGGCTGACCCCTGACCTCTGCATGCATGTTTTGGCATGCAGACACACACATATAACACATACAAATAAGCATATAAATGCAAGTGGGTGCATAATATAAATGTGTCATTTTATATTTATTTATATTATATTCCAAGTATAATGATATATTTATGAAATTTAGTGAATATATACATAAAATTTTTTCTTAAAACATTTAAAGTTTATAAAAACAAGCCCACTAATGATAATATTACTTTAAAATAATAGCATACTTGGTTAATGTAAAAAAAAATTTTTTTTTGACTAAGTGAGCACTTTTGGCATATTTTTGACTATAAGCACAGTAGCCTATCCTTTTTTAGTTATCTTTACAGTTATTCATAAATAACTATTGTTAAGTAAGTTTAAGCTGAATTTAACTGTCTTTGAAATAAGTCACTAGCATTTAAATGAGGAAAAAGAAAAGATGGGGGTAGGTGCAGGCTACTGTAACTGTAGTAACTGATCTGGATCAACTAAGCTTGCCTACTGCTGCCCATGTTTCAGAAGTGCCTTCCTCTCTGAGCTACTAAGTTACTGGGGGACCACAAAAAAACAAACAACCATACGTTAATCCTCTAAACTGTGAGGTCAGGTTAAACACAAACACACTGGCCTGCTCCTTGACTACAACTTAGTATAGTGGTAATATTAAAATAGATCAATTCAGAGATAGCAACCTTTCTTCTGTGCATTCTGGTTTCTCAGTTCCATCGATTTCAATTTCTATCAGTTCTTCTGCTTCTCTCTTAGTCATGGTTGAAGTATTTCAAAAGGTCAGCCCTGGAAGAATTAAATGTTAAGAGATTTTTTAAAAAAACATAATGTATATGAACAAAAATGATATGCAAGAGAGCAAAACTGAATTAAACCAGAGGGAAAAGAGGTACTCTATATATGTAAAAGCTCACATACAGCATTTATAAGGCAGTTTCTGTTTAAAGTGGTATCTGTTAGTCTGATACGGAGACTTCATTATTCTATGTATTGGAACTTGGTGTTGCAGGATATTTGATCATACTGTGAGTCCAAGATTGTGTTATTTAAAAGGAGGGTGTGTGTGTGTGTGTGGGGGGTGCTCTATCTTCTAGTTGTAGTGTGGCTCAGCCCTTAGCTTTAATCCCTTTAGCTGGAATATAGATGTGCCCTTAGTACACAACTTTAATCCCAAACAATGAAGGTAAAAGTTGTTAGTTCGTAGAGGGAAGCATCCATGTTTGTAAGTGATGTCTAATAGAGTGGCAGACAAAGTAATGAATCAGAAAGATTTGACAGAAGAGGATATGCCCAACTCTCATGAAAAGAAACAGGAACGGAAAGCTACTTAAGAGAGCAGTACACAGAGTAAAAGGGAGAGAAAGGAGACAGTTTTACAAAGACCGTTATAGCTAGGTTGAAGAGATGAGAAGATAGACATAGGTAGAGACAGAACAGGCTGGAGAATAAGGAGGAGCCAGAAGATTAGAACACATTACTAGAGTTACTTTGAGGTCAAGTGAGGGAATTTAGGAGAGGCTGAGAGAGAAACCAGACTGAATCAGTTAGCATGGAGAGGAGTCTGAGCCATAACAGCTGAGTGAACCAGCCAGCCAGAGGTCAGAAAGAGCTAGAAAGGATGAGTTTACTCAGCAGTCAGCCTCAGAGGCTGAAAACATTCTAGGTCTAGATAAGATTGTATGGAGGCTAGGAGCTTCCAAGGCTAGGCCTAGGTTAGCAGACAGAGGCAGTAAGCCTCTGAGACAACAATTACCTCAAGTGAATTACATTTTGGCCTAGTCTAAATCAGTAAGTTAATTCAAGTCATTATAAAAGCAAATGAAAGATACATCAACTATATTAAAACAACTTGGATTCAAACCTGAAGCTGAACATGGAGATGTATTACAACTGTTTAGATAAAAATCTGATTTGATTACATAAAGATTAAAATTCTTGTTAACATACAAGTTACAGAACAGAAAAAGTATCTACAGCACCTGAAAGTGACAAGGGACTAATAAGCGGAATAGACCATATCTTCAGTTAACTAATAGAAAGGAAAAAAAAGGTTGAGACAAACTATCAAAGTTGGCAAAGCTCAGCACAGAAAAAGGAAACTCACACCATAAATTTAAGGAATCAGGGTATGAAGAAATGCACAAAGGTAAATCATTCCAAAATGAAATTCAAAAGTAACTATACACATTGTATTGTATTTCCTAGAAAATATGGTAACATTAGGAAAAAGTATATAGCATGTACATCTGTATTTCATGTGTAAAGAACAAAAAACAAATCTGATTAAAAGTTAAAAACTGCCCTGACACTATTAATGATACTCTGCTATGCTTGCAGACGGGAACATAGCATAACTCCTGAGATGCTTCATCCAGCAGCTGTTGGAAACAGATGCAGAGACCCACAGCCAAACATAAGGTGGAGCTCAGGGACTCTTATGGAAGAGTTGGGGATAAAAATGAGTGAGCTGGAGGGGTCAAGCACACCACAGGAAGACCTCCAGACTCAATTAACCTGGATCCATCGAGGATGAACCACCAACCAAAGAGTATGCAGGGGCTGGACCTAGGCCACCTACACATTTGTAGCAGATGTGGAGCTTGGTCTTCATGTGGGACTGCTAACTGGACTATCTAGTTGGGCTTCAGTGGGAGAGGATGTCCTAGTATGGGGTGATACTGGGGGGTTCCCCTTCAAAAGAATAATGAGGCGAGGAGAGGACAAGGAGGGAGACTATTGGGATGTAAGGTGAATGAATTCATTAATTTTTTAAAAAGTTAAAAACTGAGTCAGGAGGCGGTGGTACATGCCTTTAATCCCAGCACTTCAGAGGCAACAGCAGGTGCATCTGAGTTCAAGGCCAGCCTAGTCTGCAGAGTGAGTTCCAGGACAGCCAAACAGAGGGAAACCCTGTCTGAAATCCCACTCATTCCCCCAAAAAACCTCCTTCTGGTGAAGGGCATGTGAGTTCTCAAACTACCATTTTTCTTTTCAGTCCTGTAGGTTTGTTGTACAGTTGCCAGAGACTCAGGTTAATTCAGTACTGGGCCTCCCCGGGCTCCTCAAACTTAACATCTCACTTAGTACTTAATTCACTGTCACGACTGTGACACCCAAGTTACACTTGTACTTGTAGTAAAGATAAAATGGACTTAAATCCAGTTGGCATCCAGGTATTCATATAAATACGGAAGAAAAAAAAAACGTGCTAACATGGTGGCCAGTGTCTAGTGGCATGGGGTACCTAAGGACATGACAATCAACAGTTGATCTGTACAAATGTTTTGCTCTTCTCAGCAATCAGACTTATCATTAGCTCAACCTTTCTGTTTTTAAAAATTGAGGAGGGGAGACCGGGAAGGAAGACAACATTTGAAATGTAAATAAAATAACCAATAAAATAAATTGCACTTATTTTGAAAGGCCTCGTAGTGCATACCTTTAATGCCGTCGCTCAGAAAAGAGAGGCAGATAGACCTCTAAACTCTAGGCCGGTCTAGTCTACATAGCAAGTTCAAGGTCAGCCAGGCTAGAATGTGACAGACACACACACACACATACACCCAACACAAACTTACATGTAAACACACAAACATACAAACACTTAAAAGGTGCGCATGCACATTTGTGGAGATCAGAGGGCAGTCAGTCCTGGCAGCAAGTGCCTTTACCTGTCAACCATCTCACTGGCCTACCTAAGGATTTAGTTTCAAATGACTGCTCATCATCTTGAAACAATGCGCTGGCACCATTCTCTATGCTGCTGACCCTAAGGGTGGAATCCCTAAACTCCATCGTTGTGTTCACTGAAGTACACTAACGACAAAAAGGAGGTGGGGGGCGGGGGGGGGGAGTTGGCAAGGTACATTAACTTTCACTGACATCTTCGGGAAAGAAACAGAAAGTCATCCTATACATTAGAATGATGGCCTCGGTGCGACTCTAAGACAGTTTCAGAAGGGCAACTGGATTTGGAGTGCGGGGATGGCCGAGCCCGGTGACAGACAGGTCTGGCATCTTCCTAAGAGACCCGGGAGCGCCGGGACTGTGGGCACGGCCAGCGAGCAGAGCTTGGACCGCGCCTGGCGACGGGCGACTCCGCCGCGTCCCGCAGCGCGGCCCCGGCCATGCAGCTCCCCGCGCCCCTCCCCTCGGCTCCCCGCACAGCCTCTCCCGCCCCTCCCCACCCGGCTCCCTCAAGTCTCCACGAACGGAAATGGGAGTCACAGCGCCGGGGACCAGCGGAAACAAAACACAGAGGCGGCCGCGGGGGGGCCGCGGCGGGGGAAAGCCCCGGAACCAGGCCGGCCGCGCGGGCCCGCGCTCCCCGCCAGCCCGCGGCCGCACTCACCAGCTCCGGAATCCGCCCCGTGGCCCTCGCCCGCGCTCCAGAGCCGGCTGGGAACGGCGGCGGCGCGGGCTCCAGGTACAGCGCCTCTCTGGGTAAGCCGCGCCGCTCCCGCGAGTAGCAGTGTGAGGCCCCGGGGCCCTTCCCACGGAATCGGCGCTAAGGAACCCCAGCCCCTCTCCCGCCTCCCAGGCACCCCTGGGCCTGGAACTACAACTCCCAGAAGGCTGCGCGACATGAACGCCCGCGACAACGGAGGCTCACGAGGCACAAACGCCCCAAGCCGCTTTGTTTTACGCGCTCCTTTTACTCCACACTACATCCACCTCCCCAACCCCAAGGATCAGGACGCTGACTCCTAAGGGAGCTTGAACTAGGGAACAGGCCAAAGTACGCATGCGTACAGTACAGTGTTTCCAAGAGGGAAAAGGCGGTAAAGTTGAGTGTAGGAAAGATGGCGGGGTCTTAGCTGAGGGACCCGGAAGCAGTTACCCTCCACTTCCTCCTCCTGTTTGGCTTCTGTCTCACCTAGAGGCGTCCGGTCGCAGACTCTCTTCGAGGCGCTTCCTGTCCGGTGAGCGTCGAACGACTGAAGCCGTGGCCCATAGTGCATTGCGATGGCGGGTAGGCGTGTGTAGGCGGAGCCAGGGCCGGAAGTAGAACGGTGGCGGCGGCGGTGACTCTGGCAGCTCGGGACTCAGTGCAAGGTGACTGGGAGGGTAACTAGGCTAGGTTCGCCTCTTGGGATTGCGATTCTGGGTTTCTTCACGAGGAAAGGACTGCCCATCACCTTTGCCCTAGTAGGAGAGCGCAGCCCTGTGTCCTTGGCACCTTCATGGCCTGGCCTGGGGTCACTGGTGACCTCGGCCCTGCTGGGTATTAAAGTTTGCCTTACACCCAATAACTAAGACCGTTAATACTCTTTTGAGAGCACAACAGGCCAACACGAAAGGCGAAAGAGGAAAGGCGGGGTGGCGTGCCTGCAGCCCGCCTGGGGCAACCCAAGGTCACGGCACTCCAGAGAAGCTTCTGAATTATGCAGGAGTGAGTCGTGCCTCCTAAGACAGAAAAGGGCAGTGGTGATATCCTAAAAGTTTATATCCTATCTAGAAACTATGCAGCTACCAGCTTTGTCGATTGACTTTATGATTAGATTCACAGGCAGCAAACGGACTAGCTTTTGGCAGGTCTGGTCAGTCAACCACTATAAATAGAACCATGCTCCTTCCCAAAGCAACAGCTGTGTTTGAACCTTGATATTTTTACCCCCATGCTTTCCCCAATATTTTTAATATCAAGACCCCTGAGAAGCAGCTAGCTAGCACCAGATATTAATTCAGTACAGAATTTGTCACAGATGGTGTTTTACACTTATAACATTTGTCTTCTGTGTGATAGTGAACAGATCACATAATTTCATTTGAAAAAGTGAAAGGCAGTAAAAGAGAAACAAGAAGTTTGGTAAAAGATTATGTGTTTATTGTTTGGACGATTGAGTAGGATTTAGGAGATGAATATACATGTATATTTAGGGTTCAGGAAATATGATAAACTAGAAATTTGTATTGGAAATCATTGTTTTGATCATGAAAAGTGAAAATGTATTTTGCCTGTCTTGTAGAAGAAATAGTCTTTGTAGCTAGATGAGGAGCAGGTTGACTGTAGAATGTTAGGTAATAATAATCTTCTTTAGACATGTTTTTAATCATTTATAAGAGAGACTGAAAGAACACCTTTCCCCAACACTTTAGAGAGTATTTCGTAAGTGGGCAATATGGAAGTATTTTGCAATATTTTTCGGGCTAAAGAAGTATTGCTACCTTACTGATATGTCTTAAGTGTGCTGAGTGATGTTTTCTTATATAAAGTCTTGTTTATTTGCTTGTAGCTCTTTGTCTTGTATAATTCTCTGGTAGATTATGAATGACATATTGATGTCACTATTGACACTTTAGATAACTCTTCAAAATGAGAATAGGAAGGATTGCTATTTTTCATGTTGTAGGGAGTATAGCACTGTGCCCCGTCTCTACCCATTATAGGCCACCTTCATTCAACGTATTCAGGACAGACAAAATTATCTTCAGGCAACAAATGTGCCCTTGGAGAGACAATTACACACTCTCTCCCCTCACATATATTAAATAATCATTATGCCAGTCAGCAGGCTTATAGTTAGTGATTCTTGAACTATTAGTGGTAAAGGACCACTGAGACCCTTTTATGCACTTCTGTCGTCCATCTGTCTGTCTGTTTGTCTGTCTGTCTATCTATCTATCTATCTATCTACCTATGTCTGTTTATTTGGGTGTGCATATATATATGGACACTTCTGTATGTGTTTCTCCGATAGCCAGGGTCAGCCTCCACTGTTAATCTTTGGGTACCATGCACATTGCCTTTTGAGACAGTCAGTCAGTATCCAAGATCTTGCCAAAAAGACTAGGTTGCCAAGTGAGCACCAGAGATTTGCCTTTTTCTGCCTCCCCAGTGCTGGCATCATAAGTTTGATATCAATCCTGGCTTTAAAATCAAAATGGAACAAAACTCCTTGGTTCTGGGAATCAAACACTACCCTTCTATCACCACTTTTTAAATTGTTGATATTACTAAATTCAAGAAAAATTACTTTGTCAAATAAACGTAAAGATTTTAAAATTCTTGTCCATACTTTCTCTGTTAATATGAACTGGTAGCAGTATGCTCACTACCTTGGTTTTCTCTCAGTTTAGTAGAAGTAAGGTGTCAGCAGGCAGATAGATTCTTGGTGAGAGTGTGGGAAGCATGTTGGCATAGCAGGATTTCCTCAGGTTTGAGTGGCCCTTTATCACTGACATTCTGAGAAGCCTTGAGTGTAAGTCACTCACTGTAAGTACTATAGAACAACGGTTATTATAGATGTGCACTGGGAGAAGGGGTTGTTTGATTTCTAGGGTACGCTGATTGTCTAATGAAATGTTATTCATTGCAGTGTGGCTCTTCTATTGCTATTTCACTAGAGTTTGGTGACCCTTTCCATAAGCTGAGTCTAGATGGGAAGAAATTTCTCATCTAAGTTTCAGCTTCTCTATCTCTTCCTTTCGACCTCCTGCTTGACTATATTTTCGTAATTTGGAATACTTTTGATTTTGATCTTTAAATTTCTACTTTACTCAGATCTCAACAAGAATTATCCTCCCCTTTAATGTATTTATCAATGTTTTGGGCTAGAAAATGTTTTAACTTCAAGGGTCTGAGGAGTAGAGAGGCTTTAAGCTCAATGTTTAAACTTTTGACCTAGACCCTCAGTAAACTCTTTGTCTGATAAGCTTGTGTCATCTGCTCTCTCTGTTGCTGCAGGGCTCACTAGGCCTTGTAGCTGTTTTCTTTTGGAAGCTGATTGGCTACAGTGTTAAGTAGCTAGGATCCTGAGTTTTTACCAGGCAAAGCCGTTTTCCTTCCTGTGAGCCTATGAAGTGGAAACTTCCAGCCTCTCACTCCTGGCTAAGGCAACTGTCTTGACTCCCTTTGTCGCTTTAAGAAGTCATGGAAACTGGCACAGTATATGCAGTTTGTCTTTTCCTGCTGGTGACAAGCAATATTCTTAAAGAGCTTCACCTCACTGTTTCCTCAGGTCCGAGATTAAGATCATAGGAGAAAAAAGCACTACTCCATATTATGTGTTTTCTCTTTCCTTTTAACTCTAGTAGACCTCTCAGGTCCCAGGGCCTCTTGGTAAAAAGGAAAGACCTTGTAATGAATGGGTTACATGACTGGCCAGACATAACTTGAGTTCTGGTGTAATTTAGTGCTGGAACCTAATTCTATGAATTAGGTTCTCAGCACATGATATATTTAAGGTGTTTTATGAAAAGCACATTAACTTCTTATGCTTCTCTAGTACCAGAGACTCAGCCATGATTCTTCAGAGGATCTTCAGGCTCTCCTCTGTCCTTCGGTCAGCAGTCTCTGTGCATTTGAGGAGAAACATTGGTGTTACAGCTGTGGCCTTTAAGGAACTTGATCCTGTACAGAAACTCTTCGTGGACAAGATAAGAGAGTACAAATCAAAGCGACAGTAAGTGGGTAGATGAAGAAGCACATTGTGAATGTAAATGTTCAGAGCATGTAAATTTCAAGATCTAAGTCCTAACTGTATCTTCTTCATAAAAGCTCCAAGGGACAATTCCAGTAAGTCTTGTCATTTGAAGTATAGGCACAATTATGTCATGACAATGAAATAAGTCACAGAAGTATGCAGGATCTTGAAATCATTTAGTAGCTATTTAAGAAAATTAAGTACCTTAGACATTGATTAGTTTAACATCATAAAATTAAGAATGATTGGGCAAGGCATGCAATCAGGATTTCACCTCGTTTTCAGCTTTTCTGTGATGTGATTTGAAAGATGTGTGTGAACGGCATTTTTCTCTTTAAGACTGTTTCCATGGTGATCTAAAAGACTCAAAAGTGGCATGAAGTAAAACTTGGGATAACAAGATTGCAGACTACATATTTGAGATGAATGTCCAATATAGCTATCATTTGATTTAACCTCTAAATCTTAGGAAAATAGTACACATTAGTTTATAATTCTTTTGTTTGGTCACCTGTCATTTACAAAGAACATTATGGTTAACTGATATGGGCCATGTTGTTCTTTTTCAAAATGCAGATTCTTAAATCTGATAGAAGTAGAAAGCTTATAGATAAATATAAACTAATCCGTGAGGTGCAGGGTGAGTGTTAGGGGAGTTGAATAAACACTCCCAACAGGAGACAGTTTGAAAGGCATTTTGGAAAAGTTCACTTTAGAGCTTTGAAGGCAGGGCTTGGCTCCGTCTGCCCTTTTGAGTGTCTCTTGGGCAGCTATAAATCATCTCTCCAGTATTTTAAAGGAAAGAATTTACTAATGATTTTGCTTGTTTTCAATCACCTTTGGAAGACACTCCTAGGACTCTATACCAGGTTAAAAATAGACTGGACAGGTAAATAGGAATAGGAGGGCTATATCTTTTAGGGTAGAAAAATTATGTCAGGTAAGGTATAAAAGCATAAAATTTGTTTAGAAGATTACATACCTTTTTTTTTTTTTTTTTTTTTGCTTTTGTTTTTCGAGACAGGGTTTCTCTGTGTAGCCCTGGCTGTCCTGGAACTCACTCTGTAGACCAGGCTGGCCTCGAACTCAGAAATCTGCCTGCCTCTGCCTCCCAAGTGCTGGGATTAAAGGCGTGCGCCACCACTGCCCGGCCAAGATTACATACTTTTGAGTCCAGAGGTATATGATACAGGAGGAGTATGCTCAATTTTAGGTATTAACTTTGTAGATGATGATGTCGAGTTACAATGTTATTCTGGTGTTATATGTCAGCCTGACAAAAGTCAACTGAGAGGTAGTCTCAGTTGAGAAAATGTGTCCATAAGCTATGACCATAAGCCAGCTTGTAGGCCATTTTCTAAATCAGTAATTGATATGGAAGGGCTCAGACCATTGGAGGAACTCCAGGACTGGAAGTCATGTGGTCAATGAGAAAGCAGACTGAGCCAGCCTTGTGGAATAAAGACGGTAACAGCACCCTTCCATGTCCTCTTCATCAGCTCCTGCCATCAGGTTCCTAGCTGCCTGGATCCCTGTTCTCACTTTCTCTGATGATGAACAGTGTATGGAAGCTTAAAGCAAATTCAACCTTTTCCTCCCCATGCTGCTGTGCTCATGGAGTTTCATCATAACAGTAGTAACCCTAACTAAGACAAATGTCAAAGATTGAACCCACCTGGATTGAAGTGTCAATGCCAAATAATTTTGGAGCTCTTTAAAGGTAGCTAACCAGGCAATCATTTAACGTCTTGAGGACCTGGAAGATGGTTCAGTTGGTAAAGTGCTTGCTGCATAATAAAGAAGGACCAGAGTTAGCATCCCCAGTACCAGTGTAAAGAGCTGGATGCAGGAGCCACAGCACCATTTGCCCAGTCTGATAAGTACCATGAGGTCTTTCTGGCCAGCCAGTTTAGCCAGTTCATGGGCCCAAGCTCAATAGGAAACAGTGTCTCTGAAAGTGAGGTAGAGAGATAGAAAGAGATAGATAAAGGCTCTAGATACCCTCATTGACCTCTCGTGTTCACACATGTATACAATACACAGCTTCAGAAATCATATATTTTTAATGATTAACTCTTATCTCCTATTTAATGTGTATGTTTTGCCTCTCTCTCTCTCTCTTTCTCTCTCTCTCTCTCTCTCTCTCTCTCTCTCTGTGTGTGTGTGTGTGTGTGTGTGTGTGTGTGTGTGTGTGTTTAAGTTCATGTCAGCATACCACTTGTTTGCCTAGTAGCTGTAAAGGTCAGAAGAGTGTTAGGTTCCCCGGAAGTGGTGTTATGCAGAGTTGTGAGCACACTATGTGGGTAATGGGAGCAGAGCACTAAGTGTTCCAAGTGCTGGGGCCATCTCCAGCCCCTTGTTCATTTTATTATTTAGCAGCCCCCAGGCAGGGTTTGGGTGGGGAATTTTTCTTTTATTGGTTTAAGATTTTTCTTTTCTAATCTGAACTGCATCATTTTCCATATACTGCAACTCAGATCCTGAGAACAATCTGATTAGTAAATGTCTTTGATGCTAACAAACCTTAAGGGTTAGAGATTTGTTTGAAGTTACCTCATCTCTGAAACCTTATTCTAAAATAATTTGAATTGAGATGCAAATAGAATAGTCATTTTTCTAGCCTTTTCATTTCCCCAACGTGTGTACCTTATTAAGACGTGATGATAAAGAGTAGTTTTAGGTTTTTTGTTTGATTGGTTGGTTTCATTTTAACTAGGGCATAATTCATTTTCTTTGTTTCATTGTACACTAGGGCATCTGCAGGACCTGTTGATGCTGGCCCAGAGTATCAGCAAGACCTGGACAGAGAGCTGTATAAGCTCAGACAAATGTTTGGGAAAGGAGAGATGGACAAGTTCCCTACCTTCAACTTTGAAGGTAAGTCTGCCTTGTCACAGACGAAATGTCAGGGTTAGTGTAGGTGGAGAGTATGTCTGCTTTTCTCTAGAGCTAGGACTTTGCTCCTGTTAATGCCCTGTCACTCATCCTTAAGAGGTTTTGAGGGTGTTTGAAAGTTAAATGACAGTTACATGTGAAGTTAGAAAGCACTCGGATCACTGTTGGTGAATTATGAGACCTTTCTCATTTGATTGGTCTAGTTATGCAGCACATATATGTAACATAGATTAATAAAGACCTCAATCACAGAAGGTATTGGAAGTTTATCAACTGTTGTGTTTCTCTGCACATGTTTAAAAACAGATGTTTTTTTTAAAAAATCTTAAAATTGGCAAATTTCAGCATGGTACCTAATCTTATTATTGCAGTATGACTAAGCCTAAAATGTTTCCCTCTTTTTAGATCCCAAATTTGAAGTCATCGACAAACCCCAGTCCTGAGGAACATATAAAATCCATGCGGTAATTTGTCATGAATTAGTTGTACAACTAATCTAAAGAATTCAAATAAACATGCATTTCACAGTTATCAAATGTCCTTTAAATTCTTTGGTGATAGGTAGTGTGTGCCTAGCAGTGCTTTGTTTCTGTTGTTTCTGAATCCTTTCATTCTGGTAGAATGAACCAGCTGGAGATGTTGGGTTAAACTGGATAAAAGTGTCTTCTCCCTAACTAGACTGTTCCCAGTGTGCAGTGCTGTCCTCTTTAATAGTGGAGATCATCACCTAAGAGACTGTGTGCTGGGAAGGAAGGATATTATATTTATCTTCTTTTTTATTTTATTTTTACTTATTTATTATGCTTGCAGCAGTCTTCTGCATGTATGCCTGATTGAAGGAGTGGTTTTTATATCCTTTGTTGTCAGGAGCCATAATAGGACAAGCTAATAACTAGCAGGTGATCATCCTGAAATGGCTTGCCTTGGATTATTATATAATCTGCAACAAGTGAGCCCTTATTCAGCAAGGCTGTGAGGGACTTATTTTAGGAAAGATTCCTGCTATTAATAAGCTTTTTCTATTATCATTAAATATAACAATCACTAAGTAATAGCACACCTTTTGGAGCAGATCTCTGCAGACCCATGAAGATGTATTGTCTTGTAGTGATGCTATATAGACAAGTAAGTCTATAATATAATAAGGCTTCTTAAGTCTTAATGATGATCCTATAAGAATTTCTAAAATTATATCAATGATTATTAAGCTCTTTTATAACATGACCGCTATTAGGTCCCTTTCTGATAGTCAAAACTGCAATGAGAACTCTGCCAGTCTCCCAAGTGTCATCAGTTAATTGCACTTTTACGGACTGCAGGAGGGAGACTAGAAATCTCAAGGTAACACTCTTCAAGTAACAAAGGGATATTCATACCCAGTTCAGTCATCATTTCTGTAGAAGATGGTACACTTCAGTTACTGAGCATCAGAAGAGTCCTGTTAACACAGTTACATAAGCCAGTCTTCATGAATATAATTTATTTCTTTGCTATGTATTATCTTGACATCTAGAAAGACACATTTTGGATCTTCAGTTACTTTAGATGATTCAGTGGTTTGAATTCAACTCAATGAATGCTTTTGGAAGGAAAAGTCAGTTTTAAAATGAGTAAAATGAGATAGTATCATGTTCCTGTAATCAAAGCAATCGGGACTTGAAGACAAGAGCATAAGGCTGGAGAGATGCCGTTCCATGGTTTCAGAGGACTTGAGTTTGATTCCCAGCACTTACATGGCCGCTTACCACCATCTGGAACTCCATTTCCAGGGGATCTAATTTCCTCTCCTGATGTCTAGGGGCACCAGACACCCATGTGGTGCAGACACATGTAAGCAAACCACCCATACATAAAAATGAATTGTATGGAAATGGACAACTAATTGCTAAAAGGGAAAATAATTCTTGTCCATCTTTAGTTCATGAAGTAATAATTCATAGACCACAAACTGTGTTGTATCAGAATGCAATGTTTTATTAATATTCTAAGTTGATGCTTACATTTAATCATTCTTTGTGCTTCACAGGTATTCAGCATTTTTAGAAACTTTTTGTGTCAGATACTATTAAATACCTTAGGGTTTATGAAGACCTGTACAACATAGGTCTTTTCTCAGGTTTTCAGGTTGGTAGAGATGTCATATATATACCTACCTGTACTATAACACAGAAATCAATAAATACCACAAAAGAATCAAATGCCACCGGAATTCAGAGACAAAACTTACAGCTGGAAAATGGGAGAAGGCTGTCCCACAGAGAGTTGAATTTGACTTGTCTGTCAGGAGTAAATAGGATTTCCATAGCTTGTGATGAGGACTAACAGTCCAGGGAAGTATTACAAATGTATCCAAAAAGGCAGACTAAATTGTAAGGACAGAGTTCAGTCTGCTGAATAATAAGAGAACAAAAGAAAGTGGGTTGTGGGTTGGTTGTGTATAAAATTCTGTTGTATCTTTTTGTTTTAAATGCTGAAGTTTGACAAAGATAGATTTGGGAACCAGGGTGGGTGGGATGGGTGACCTAGAGGTTACTAAGGATGAAGAGAAGGTGTTGAGAACTGGAGAATGTAAAATGAAGGAAAAGTAGACCCCAACTCCTCCAGTAACAGCACTGCAAACCTGAGCAGTCGTTGACTGCAAAACGACAGGCTCCCCTTCGTAATGTCTTGGAAGAGAAGTGAGATTTTGCACTCCCTTATCCTCAGCCTCTGACATCACAAAACATCCAGTAAGTAGTTTACCCTTTTTATTTTCTGACTAGAGGTTGGCAGTTATCCAAGCTGAGAGACAAGGGCGACTGATTTTAAACTGCTAGAGGGGCCTCACAGCTGCAGGTACGAGGGAGGGAGGAGTTTCCTGGGTTTTACTGAACAATAGGTGAGTGACTTCCCCCCTCTGTTGGATGGGACTAAAAAGTTGAGCTGTGCATAGCTATTTTTGTATCGTGAACTTTAATCAAACAAAGTGAGTTGTAGAATGAAGGAAGTTCTTTGTAGAGTTGTATTGTAAAATAAACATCCAGGCTTAGCTAAGTTATCCCCTATCCGGACTAAAAATAAGATGAAGCTAGTTACAACAGCGACAATACTAAAGCAAAACTTTCTCTCATAGTTTCTAGACCCTTATTACACTTTCACTGTGGAAAAATAAAATCAACATGTTCTAGAAACTACAATTAGATGTTAACACAATGTTAGAGTTCAAGTCTTAGAAAACAGCAGACAAGTCTTCATGGCAGTGACTCTCAGACAGACTTAATAACTAGAAGGTTAGTGTGCAGTTAGGTCCTTTGTGTAGAAGAAAGCATTCTTCATACGATGATTTCTGTGTAGCTGTATACAGTAGTTAAGAATGTATAGTAGATATTTGGCACAGATTTTATTAGATGTTTACACTGCATAAAATGAACCTTCAGTCTTCAGTGTCTTAAAAGGAAGCTTTTCATCTACTAGTGAAGGTAAGGCACTACGTAATTGTCATCTCACGATGTGGATTTGTGTCATTTAAGTTGATGCAGTTGGTCTTGTGATACTATTTGGGCCTAAAGAGGCATCCTTGAGAGTTGTACGTCTACTTGGCACTGCAGAAGGATAGCATTCCTCCTACCAGAGCAAATCTCATAGTCATGGCATAGGCAACATTTATCCTGATTTCTTGTACACCACAGGTGTTTGTCATTTGCTACCAGAAGCAAGGAGCTTGGATCTGTGGGCAAATCCCAGCTACATCACTGACACACGTGTACTCTACACTGTGTGACAGAGTTGAGTGGTTGTAACAAGAACCATGTGGGTTGAATTATGTACTATCTTGTTCTGAGTAGCTTGCTGGCTATATTAAGTATGAGTCTGACCTTGAGGGCTGAGGCATTTTACACAAGTCAGCCCTTTGGAAAGGTGTCTACTGATTAAGAAGGATTCAAGGCCACAAAGTTAAAGGGGAGCAGTATGGCAGTGGGCATCACCCTGGTTACCAGATCACTACGAGGTACTCACTGACCACTTCGCCTGTTTGCTTATCATGAGAATCCTGAGAATCTGCTTTGCCTTTTGGGTAGAAAGTTAACTTGACCATGTTCAAAGCTGATAAAGGGAGTAAATAACCTTTCATGCTTTTTTACCCAGAACTAGACATCTCCAGTTACGTGTCTGTGTGTGTGTGTGTGTGTGTGTGTGTGTGTGTGTGTGTGTGTGTAAACCAGTCCCCAACAGGACTGGTTTTCCTGTTGAGCCCTGGGAATTTCATATTCTGACACTAGCTGGTTGGTGGCCTTTGTGGATAACCAGTTCAGAAGACATTAGACCCCTGTCTCATTTCAGCCATAGTTTCTCCTGTACCTTTGCTGGATCACAGTCAAAATGAGCTTGTTTCATCTACCTTTTACTTTTGGGGCAAATGCTTCTCTCCCCTATGCCCCTGTTCCATCATAAACAGATTGAAAACCCTTTATCTTCACCAGGGAGGAACTAGCCCAGTTCAGAATTGCTTTTAGGGACAGATAAAAGGTGTCTGTGGAGTTGTGTAGGTTCTAGTAGTGCACTCTGATGTCCAGGTCACTGAGCCTCTCCAAAAGCCTCTGAGGAAATCGCAATAGCAGCTCCCTTCATGTTGGCTTTTGGTTCTGAAAAGTGAAAGAAAATATAAAAGTGCAAACCCTTAGACATGAACTCAGCCCTGGGATTCCCTTACAGAGATACAGAGACACAGGACAATAGAACCCAGATTATTTAGAGGTAATAAGAGGATTCTGGTAGGAATTTTGCAAACAGAGTTTCTATTCATTAGAGTATTTCCTGAACACATAAGCCATTCTTGCATGGAGAGAGCACGAACAGTGTATTCTTGCCTCTTGGATTATTAGCTTTACAGTCAGTATGATACAGTCAGCTTCAAAAATGACATTCATTTGCATTTCAGAAAGTCAGAATATTACCAGACATTTCACTTTAGGTCAGACACAAGATGCCAGATTGTATTTTAGCGATGGCAAGAACATTTTGCTTAAAATACTTCTTGTGAGTTATAGGTCATAAAAACTATGATGAATTCCCACTTTCATTTCTTCATCCACCTCTTTGCAAATGTAAGACAAAGGAGGGTTTTACAATATTTTAATAACTTGTGTGACAACTGGTTTTGGTGCATCTCAAAAGTAGAATTCTTTTAAATTATAAAGGATTTTGTGTGCTTGAAATCCTAGAAAAAAAAAAAGGAAAAAAAAATACGTTTAAAGATAACATGCTAAATGACATTTAAATTCATTCATATAAATCTTATGAATATCAGACTGAGATTTTTCAAGTTCCAGTCAGTATATACCTAACTAAATCTAATTTTTTGGACAGTTAAGTAAATGCTAGAAGCCAAGAAACGTGAACTTTGCTGAAAATAAAGAACTTGGGTTGAAGTTAGAGCCAGGAGAATTTGGCTTGCTCCAAGCTAGTGTGCTACGGCTGCTCACTGATAATATGTGCTCAGGGTAACACAGCAGTGTAGCCCAACACTGAACTGGGAAACCTGACTGCAAAAGAAAGCTGAACTAGAGACGTGTATGCAGCTGATGAGGGCTACTGAGAGGTAAAAAAGAAACATTTATTTTCCTTTTAATTCAGAGACAAGATCCCTTTTATTGTTTGATAGAATTATTTTTATTCCGGTCTTTAAGGCTTTTTCTGTAAATTGTAGAAGATAAGATGTGCTATTTGTCCCCTAATTTAAGAGCATGCTCAGCATAGTCAACTACAAAATTCGGTAACTATAGTCATAGATCCTAAAGTACGTAATTTAAAATAACTTATGGGGCAGGAGGTTAAAGAGCAGTAATAAGCAGGTGTGGAATACTAGCGTGTGTAAGAATCACTTAAGTGTTTTAAGTACTGACACCTGAGGTCTGCTCTAAGACGTCTGAGTATCCCTTACCTAAAGAACTAAGGAGTTCTAGGAGTTCTTCCTCAGGAAAGGATTTAAGCCTATGAGAATGTTGGATGTCCCTCCTCTATTACCAAAAAGTAGTCCAGCTGGTCCAAATGATGTTTGCCAAGCAATCTTAACTAGATGATAATTTCCTTCTAAGGGTTTTGAAATGCTCTTTTTCAGCAGTAACAGATGATATATCTCTAACATGTCCAAGTGCTTGGAATAACCAAAGGCAAGTTCTATAAACAGAGCATGCTGGGAGCCCTCTACTGGGCCAGGCTGGTCCCCACCTTTGCCGGTGTTAGAATGTGAGAACATATCCCTTAGTTTCCTCAGCTAGCAAGAATGGCTGCGAATGCCAGACTCTGTCACATTAAAGAGGTAGGTTTAGAGCCTAACACCCTCAAACAGAAAGGATACAATAAAAAGACCATCCAGTAATTGCTCTGCAAATGTCATATATCCTCATGGTGTCAACCCAGACGGAAAGGAGGCTAACATTTACCTAGATTTTTTGATGTACCAGTAGCAGACACCAGTCTAAAGTGTATTAAAAATGAGGTCACAATATCACATATTTGCCTCACTTCCCTGCCACAGTCCCTAAATGTCCTATTTAATAAACATGCTTCAATAGTACTCACATTTTCATTCATTGTAGTGGCTTTAGATTCCGGACTCCCCTTCCTGTGTGTAGAACACAAAGACAACATTTACTACATTATCCCTTCCAATCCTGGTACCCATCCTTACTCAGTAGGACTGCCTTAGCCAGGCAGGAAGAAAAACCAGCAACCCAAAGTGAATTCCTGACACTTATAGACAGTATCCAGGGAAGCCATGCAACAAAGTACAGGTTTATGTCAAACCTTGAGCAACAAAATGTCGTCTAAGACCAACAGGTTCTTTTCTTTTCTTTTTTTTTTTTTTTTTTTGTGGAATACACACACAAGAGACTTATTTTCAATCTAATATAGTAACATTAAATATTTTAAAAGTTTGATCATTATCATCTGAAGTTTCACTTGTTTTGTGTATTGAACATGTTTCTAGTAGAAACTTAATGCATTTGAAAACTATAGATGTCGTGAATGGACATAAGGTGTAAGACAATAAATTGCTCCTTCCTGGATTATAAAGATTCCTGCCTAATTTGACAGAGGCTCAAATTAAGAGAGTATACATCTCCCTCACTGTTTATTTAAGATCATATGTCACTCTGCTCAAAACCCTCAATCACTTCACATCTTAATAAAAAATTGAAGTGCTCACAATTGCCTGGGGCTGGGCTGGGATTGGGTAGTGGCTACATGTCCAGGCTGCTCCATTCTAAATGGCCTTGCCTCTTGGCTAATCCTGATATCTCAGACTTTATCTTGTACTTGCACTAGGATATCATGAGATCCAGACACCAGGGTTGAGGCAGGCATCTGGGAATAGGAAGTCATTGACAAGATGAGTCTTCAAAGGGTATAAGGGAAGCCATGGCAGCCGGGAAGGAGGCATATGGAAAGGGGATCTGCCATGCCTATGTGGAAAGAGCTCAGTCATAGATCCAATGCAACAGAACCGGGGCTTTGATGACCTTATCCATGTCTTGTGCATGACTGCAACATTTTTATCATCAATTAAGGGGATAGAGAGGTGTCTCGGTGGTATAGAGCACTTGATCTTGCAGAGAACCAGAGTTCAGCTGCCAGTGCCATGTAGTGGCTCACAACTGTCTGTAATTCCAACTTCTGGAGGTCTGACACCTCTTCTAGTCTGCATGGGTACTGTATGCACTTGGTACACAAACATACATTCAAGCAAAACACTCAGACACTTAAATAAATTCCTCAAACTCCAGATTCATATGTATGCTATCAGTGACTATTTCTATTCAAGAGTCTAATAAGCTTGTCGAATACTGAAAGTTCAAGTGCTCTGCACATCTCTATTATCTCCTCTCCGAGACCTTGCTCCCAAAGCCACACCTTCTGATATCTTCCACATCCAGTAAATAGAGTTTATGTCCTTTGTAACCCTGAAGCCACCTCATGTTACTCCTTTCCTACCAGCCCAAATCCAGATCAGTTAGTTAGTTGCTGAAAATAAATCCACTATGCTGTACCCCATCAAGCACTCTGATGCCACCATGGTAGCATATTGTGTATGCCATGTTGTCTTGGCTCCCTTACTGTCATTTTCTAATTGATCTAACAGCTTTCACCTTTCCCCCCTTAAAGTTTATTCTTAACAGAGAAACCAAGGTGATCGTTAAAGATTTAAAAAGTTTAAAGCTGCTTACATCCCTTCCTGGACTTCCTGTGTTACTCAGAACCAGAGCCAAATGCCTCAAAATCTGGCAACATCTCCATATCGTCTGACTCCCAGTACTTCTGTGTGTTCCCTGCCTCTTTCCCACACAGCTCTAGGCACGATGCTCGTCTCAGATATGCCGGGCATCTTGACCTTGAGCTGTTTCATGTCTCTCTCTCCCTTCTACAAGAACACCATTGTGGATATCTCCTTGGCTGGCTTCTTCACTCAGTCTTAAGCAAACATCGCCTATGTCCTTTCTTGGCCATCTATTTAAAGTGACGGTCTCCACTCCCACTCTTCGCTCTTCACTCTTCATGTTCTCTGCTTTCTTACTTGTTCTGTTCTCCGTCACACTCTACAGTGTTCTTGCCACACTCTAGAGCGCTGCACAGCGTACAGGTTTAGTCGTTTAGTCATTTTCTGCTTAGTGCAATGGAAGCTCCACAATGATGCTAATTTTCATACTGATTCCAATATAGATTTTGTGGGTGTTTACCTTTTAGCTAATAGAGTGGCAGCACCTGGGGCGGTTAGGCGCGAAATTGATTACATTTCAGTTAAGTGTGAAAAATTACTAAGTGAAAGCTTATTTGAAAACTCTTAGTGATACATAGAAATGTGTTTTTAAAGTTGTACTATGGAAGTGTCCACAGTTAGAGATCATATGTCACCTCTTGTCATTTATAAGTAGGCCCCAGGACAGAGGTAGTATGTTTTCCTTGATGAAGCTGATTAACTTCTCACAGGATTTCTCTACACAAATAAACGACTTTTGCCATCAAACAGATGGTTAAAAACTAAAAGACAGGAAGAAAAGGTAAGTATTAAGAAAGAATACTTACTGGAAGGAAGTTTCTTCTGCAAAAGAACAGGTATATGTCATTAATGCAAGAATTCATATGCAGACCCATCTACAATGACTTTGGCTGATTTTCTTTTGAGTCTAACCTGTAATATTTGTACCTTCTAGATGAAAGTTTTTCTATATAAGGTCATACATACAGCACATGTTTGGGCTTTGAGGGCTCAGAGATAAAATCAGGGATACTTTGGAGCTGGTTATATAACCAAGAAGAAAACAAACTTTCAAAAATGTCATTAAAATTTAAAGTAAAATAATAATAAAGTCTCATCAGCTTATTAATGAAAAGAATAGGATTCTTTCAGTGTAGGGTTCACATTTCCTTGTCTCAATATAATGCTACTATTAAGTAATTACAAAATTGCCTTTATAAAAAAAAATGAGCTTATAGGCCCTAGAAAGCCAGGTAGGGAACTGAGCCTGGTGGTATAAACCTGGAATTTCATATACTTGGGAAGCTAAGGCAGGGTGATCATAAGTTCAAAGCCAGCCTGGGCAACTTAGTGAGACCCTGTCTCAAAATTTTAAAAAATTAAAAAAAAAAAAAAAGGCTGGCCTCCCATTCAAGTACTTACCAGGCCCATCCCTGCTTAGCTTCCGAGATCAGATGAGATGTGGCACATTCAGGGTGGTATAGCCAATAAATATAATAAGTACATAATATTTTTTTAAAAAAAAGACTGGCTGTGTTGTTTAGTAGCAGAGCAGTTAATGTCCTATGTTCATTCCTCAGTGCCAGAACAATTCGTCCCCAAAAGTGAAGAAAAACAGATATAAACTGGACTTGGCCAGAGGTTATAGTTTGCTAATGCTGATCCCAAACATAAGTTCAAAAATATGGTTCCCTTGGGCAGGTTTTCTGCCATATGAAAAAGGAAGTAATAATTGAAGCTAATGAACTCCTAATACCCATTTCAACTCTTTCAGTATTTTAAGAAATAACTTTAGTGACTCCTCATATAGAAATCATTAGGTATTTTTCCTAAATAGGTAAAAATGATAAGAATTGTATGATAATTTCATTTATACTTTCACTATTGACCAGCAGGGGGACACAGCTTGAGTCTATTGATTGAATAGGATAGGATAGGCCAGACTGGACTCTCTTTCACAAGAAACAGTTCACTCTTTTTCTTTCTTGATACAGGGTCTTAATTTGCAGACCATGTTAACTTTGAACTTACAACCCTATTGCCACAGCCTCTGTGCATGCTGTAATTCCACATATAAACTCCATGCCTAATAGCTACGCAGAAATCAATTTTCATGGAAACATTTTTGAAGTATAAATGCTAATATAGAAATGATGTATAATTACTTATAAATGATATTGTAAACTCCTTTTGATTTTATTTCAATATGAACCATTTTCTACCTAAATTCTAAAGCTGATACCACTCTTAAATGATGGCTCTAAAATGTCTTCATGCTATAATTTATTTCATTTAAAAATTCAACTTCATACCCTTTTGTTAGTACAGGAAGCTCTTGAGGTTTCATAAATTTAAACACTGGGAGTGAAGGCATATATTAAGAGAATAAAATGTTTAAATCTCAAAAGTTTACAGCAAACCAATTGCGTAATCAAATGTAGTTTGAAGTTACAAAAGTTCTAACCAAGAAGATCTAAAAGCCTCACCTGGAAGCATGTCTAATCCAGTAGGGTCTGTGCGTGCTCAACGGTTTTGTTTTGTAATTTTTTTGAAACAGGATCTCACTATATAGCCCAAACTTACTACTCTCATGACTCTATGCCACCCTCCAGTACTAGGATCATAGGCATATGCCAACACACTCAACTAGGTTTCTAGTTGTGGCTAGCAGGTTTCTTTATACTTACATTAAACTAGACATTCAATATTACACAGTTCTATACTGAAACATTTCACTAATAATTTATTTTAATAAAATTATTTATAAAATTAGAAAGTTGTGCCCATGGAAGATGTCTATTAAAGTTTACAATTTACCACTAAAAAAATAAAAAATAAAAATAAAATAAAATAAAATTAGAAAGTAATGCCTATCCTATAAGACATAATTGCTAACATAAAATATAAGGATCTCATATCATATGTTGATATACTATAAACATTTGTCTACATTGAGTGTCTTGTGCTGTTACACTCCATGGATGATTCTTACACATTCCATAGAGTTCCCACCTTGTCACAAGAAGGAAGCATTCTTTGGTTCCTGAGGTGTATCACAAGGCATATGCATGTTACTATGAACATTGTCTGTAGCACACTAGCAGTAAAAATACCCTCCAGAGTTGGTAGAACTTCATAGGAGAAACAATAGTTTTAAAGGAAATCTCTATATTCAGAAGATACCATGTATCTGAGAAGGATGAATTTAACTTACTTGAAAAGTAGCCTTTTCTCTGAGCATAGCATATACTAAGGCCACATACAGAAACCACGAAGGCCACCACAACAACAGCTGCAATGATGCCACTTATGTTGAGAACATCTGGAATGTGAAATAAAGCATGTGTGAATTCTTGTTAAGTAGATGGACAAATGCTATCATTAAATCCAACAGTCATAAAAACTCTCCTTGGTAGCTATGCTAATGATACTGTATGCTTCTGAAACCTACTTAACTAGTTAATTTCAATTCATGGCTCAAATTGATTGGAAATAGAACCAAGCTTTTACAAAATCTTAAATGTTAGGATTAGCAAGATGGTACAGTGGGTAAAGGTGCTTGCCATCTAGCCTGGACACGAGCTCAAGCCCTGGAACCCCCTCTTTGACATCTACTCATGCCTTTGGTTTGATCCCTAATGTTGCCGGTGGGAGGGGATATGCTCCAAAACTATTTCCTAGGAAAGACTAACGCTCTCATTCTCTCGATTCCAAAAGTCATTTTGTGAATACAATATATTGTAGTTGTGTTTTGAACAATCTAGATCCATAACTATTTCGTGTGTCTATTGGAAAACCTAGCCTGCAATTAGTATAAACTTAGTGTTTCAGAGTCTTGACACAGCCATTGTCAATAACTTTCTGACAGTGACCCAGATGGCTAACACTTACATAATGCTCACAGCACACAAGCTCTGCTGTGTTGCTATAGTGTAAGCCAAGGAGGAGTCTCTGCCACATGTAGCAAGTTGGTGGCAGCACTTTACGTGGGCCCTTAGCACTTAGCAGTGATTTGAAAGACAGATTTCTTAGAAAAGCATATTTTAAAACACATATTTGATAAATTAAAAACATCTGTATATATAGGCTAAGTTGTCTTGCCTTGATTAAAAGACAGACTGAAAACAACACTGTTACTTTATTTTTATGTTAAGCTCATTTTAAACATTTCTTCCAATGTGTCCATCCCCTTACTCCTTTACCCATCAAATACCTGACACTATTCACACACAAGTTTTTCTCAATTTCCTGTGCTTACCTACTTGCATTCGTTTCCCAGAACACCGGCGATGTCCAACAGAGTTACGGGCTTCACAGTAATATTCTCCACTGTCCATCTTGGAAATCATGTTGAATTGCTATTTGTATAAGGAAAAATAAACAGACTCCTAAGCTGTAAGTCTATGACTAGGCTCCTAGAATAAATAATGTCCTTGGAAGTTTGTCACCAAGTGGATCTGCCCTTTGGTAATGACCCAGAAATTTATATTTTTCTTGTGAATTGTGGTGTCTACCAGAACCTGCCAGGTCTTTGAGAGGTAAATAGATAAGCCTGTTTAATGTGGCAGACAAAGACAGGCATATCTGAGGAAATCTGTCTCCCTCTTCCTCCATTCCTCCTGGTACCTTCAACAGTATGCCACTATGTCGCCCAGGCTGGTCTCAAACCCTTGATCCTCACTCTTTTGTTGTCACAAAGCATCACAGGTATGTGGCCCCTCAGTCTCTGTAATTTCTGAGAAGTGCCATTCATAAAGGAAGACCTCCACTGTGGAAGGGCTAGTATCCTTTCTCAGTCACAGTGAGGTCACTGCAGGAGCAAACCACAAGCACTTGCTCCCCAGTGTCAGAGCTATGGCCAGGAAGTAGCTTGTGGCCCACGAAACCGCAGCTGATGTTTTTAGGATTGTAAATTATAGCAATTCCAGAGTACTTGAAAATTCTGAAAAGAAAAGTTCAACCCTCCTGGGCCATGGTCACACTTCCTTTAATTCCATCACTCAGAAAACCAAGACAAGCAGATATCTGTGAGTTTGAGAACAGCCAGGGCTACACAGAGAAATCCTATCTCAAAACAAAGTCAAAAACCCAACAACAAAAGTTCAACCCTCACTACCATATAATGAGAGGTAAGAGTTTGGTGTAAAACACTTCATAATTTGTACCAGTCGTTTTATACCCTTGGAGAGTTTCTGGAAGGAAAGAAGACCAGGAGGAAGCTGAGGGAAGGAGCTTGCTCCAGTTTAAGCTGCCCATGGGCATAAGGTGTCCTTACCACATACCCCAAGGGATGACTCCCTGAGGAGAGTGCATCCAGCACTTCAGACTTGCCTCAGGGCTTTTATCACCCACTCAGAAAAAAAATAAATCTGAAGAGTAAATATAGCTGCATGTGACAGCAGGTTTAGTGCCCAATTTCACAGTGTAAAATGGTTCGGACCTGCTGACTGCTCCTGAAGACTGGAAATGCTAGCACATGACCTGATTCTGAGGGCAGCACCCTCCACTCCTTCTTTTACTTAGCTACAGATGCAGTGAGCTTTCCTGGTCATCAGAAGATCTAGCTTTTGAATGACACTGCACTAGGATAAAGAATAAATGGAAATGACTTGCCTCTGTTTGAAAATTCCTAAGACTCGTTCATATTACCTTACCTATAAGAGGTTTTTTTTTTTTTCATAATACTTGTCGTGATTTTGCATTGCTGGAAACAAAATATTTAGAACCCAACTCGATATTATCTTGATTGGAAGCAAAAGGTTTAAAATGAATTGATCTGATTTTTTTTCCTCCCCTACCTCTACTCTGAAAAGTCACAGATGAAAAAAGTAAAAACAGTCCTGAAGTTTGAACAGCTTATATATGGAGCTAGATCCGTTATCTCTAGGAAAGGAAACAACTGGACAATCTGGGATAAATTTACAGATTAAGTAACAGATAGGTAGGTCACAGAGACGACAGTGAAGGCTCTGGATCCACAAGAAAGTTTAATGACTCAGACACCCTAATACGGTTTTCCTATGGTCATTGTTTCCACATTTAGCACTGAGCTTCAGGTATTTCCAACTGAATTTTTTGTGCATTTCCTCAGTGGTTAAAATTGAGATTGAGGTTGATGATTTTCCAGGACATAGAGGTAGGTAGCTCTAGAATCTAGGTGGATTACTGCCTAATCCATCATGGAAAAGGTTTGGCCTGCCCTGAGTACTGGTCACTCACTGTTGCTTAGCTCCCTGGGTTCCTAGTCCATCTTCTTACTTCCCACAGTAGTCTGTGCCATTGTTTCTTAGCACATGTGTCATTCTCTTTCCTGCTACCACCTCCACTCTCCACTTAGCCAGCAATGAGATTGATCTCCTGTTATGTATAATTTAAAGTTCTAATAACCTTTTTATCACAATGACAGATAGTAGTTTAATACCTGAAAGGACCTTACCAGAATTCCAGATTTTGTATTCATTGTGTACGAGCTGTTGTGTATGCCGCCTTTTGGATTCCCTAGCAAACTCGTGCCATCTTTAAACCATATGTACTCAGGGGCTGGATTTCCTTCTTTATCTTGACATCGTAGCTCCACAACACTGCCACTCATAACAGAAGTGGGTATTTCACATGAAGGAACAGCAGGAGCCACTGCACAGTGGAAGCCAGATAGTACAGATTATTCATTAGCTGAACACGAGTTTCAAAAGTCTGTATTGGGTGGACAACTGAGACACAGATGGGACGCTGTTCACTGGACATGTTTTCTTTTCTCTTAAGCACACAATATACCCCATTTTTACCCTTCTTACTGCCAGATAGGTTATATACATTAGTTTGGTCAAAAGAATATTTTAAAGTGATATGACCATTTTTGTATCTGACCTATTAACATTTCATGTATGCTTCATCTGATCACCATATCCTCGTCTACTACCGGAGTAGTTATCAGTATACTTGAACTTCAAAAGCCATGTATTGTCAGGCCAGTCATGTATTTTTCTGAGTCTCTTCATTTCATAAAGTAGGATATTATAGTTTGAGAATGACATATCCTCCATGGGTTGGCTCATGTGTTTGAACACCTGACCCGTAGCTGCTAGTGGTGTTTGGGGTGGTTGTAGAACACTAGTGAGGAAGTGTGTCACTGGGGACTCGCCTGGAGGTTTTTGGCCTAGTCCTGCTTTGGGTCCCTCTCTGCTACCTGGTCTGCCAAGATGTGAGCAAGCAGCCACATGGTCCCCCTTCCACAGATGAGCTGCTCCCGTCTCCATGGCTTCCCTACCACGCTGGACTTACATCCACTCCAAACGTGAGCCTTCCTTAAGTTGCTCCTTGTCATGTAGGTGGTCACAGAAATGAGAAAAGTGACTCATAACAAAAATTAGCACCAAGAACTGGAACCATTGCTGGTGGTCCCTGACCACATGGCTCATAAGCCGTAGGAACTGATTTGCAGGACGATAATAGAGTTTGGAGCTGTAGACTAAAGAAGTGCTACAATGCCACAAATGGAGCTTACTGGGTCATTCTGAAGAATGGGAATGGAAGGGTGAACAGTAAAGCCTGTGCTTTTTTAAGCCCTGGGGGTAGGGGTCAAGGACTTGAATTGAATCAGAAGTTAGATTAGAGGGCATTAGTATGACATATTGACAAAGAATCTGGCTTCTTTCATATTCCTGAAAACTGGGGTGAGACTGCGCTTTAAAGTAGTAGACCAAGTTGTTTGGCAGAGGAAATGTCAAGACAGCCTAGCATGCAAGCTGTTCATGGTAGTCACGGTAACTCCACTGATTCTTGACAGATTTACAAGGGAAAGGTAGAGAGATGTGAGTGTGAAGGTTAGCAAGGAGAGATGCACAGAGATGTTTAAACTGCAGGCAGGGAGGGAATGGGAGTTCAGCCAAAGCAGTTGTAATGGTTAAACGTGCTGGCACCCTGAAGGAAGAAAGGGTGCCTTCAAGGAAAACATTCAGGCACCAAATGGAGCTATCCCAGAAGAGAAACCACATGTGCCTCAGAAAACTGAACAATGGGGCCATCCAAAAGAAGAGCTGCCTGCTGTAACAATTCAAGTTCATGCAGAAAGAGCATTTCCTGAAAACACAGCCTCTAGGTATCATTTGGTAAAATAAGCATCAAGGGAAAAGTTTTTCCTGAGTTCAGTAGCAAAGGCATACAGAGGCCTCTTTATATCTATAAATCTGTGATCTGTGGTCCAATAAGGCCAGGACACATCTTGAGCAGGATACAGTTCTTGGCATTAGGCATTATGCCTATGCTGCTGGAATTTTTCTATGTTTTTTTTTGTTTGTTTTTTGTTTGTTTGTTTGGTTGGTTGGTTCTTTTTAGACATTCTGGTTGCAAGAGAAAGGCAGCAATACCAGCATCCCAGAGAGCTGCTGCAATATCTGTGTAGCATGTCAGATTCTGTGCACGGAGCTGCTATGTGAGCAGAGTGTGAAGCTGTGAAGGCAACGCCTGAGTTGTAGTGAAACCCTGGGATATTAGAATTGTACAAAGCTCTGGGCCTTCACTGAAAAATCATTCAGGCACCAAATGGAGCTATCCCAGAAGAGAAGCCACATGTGCCTCAGGAAATTGAACAATGGGGCTGTCCAAAGTCATTGAGCCAAGAAGATCCCACCAAGAGTTCCAGGTAGTAGGCATGGAGCTGAGGTGTTGGGTACTTTTCCTTCTGTCTTGGCCTTGCTTTTGGCCCAGCCTTTCCTTGCTATGCCCCATTATTCTCTTTTGGAATAGGAATGTTTTTATTTTGGACACTGCACTTTTAAATTTTGTTTCATAGGGGTTGACAGTTAAGCGATTGCCTTGAACAATTTAAGACTTCAGACTTTAGAACAGTGTTTGGACCATGAGACTAGTGATTTTTGAAGTTAGACTTAATGCATTTCCCCTTATTAAATATTCATGAGTGTTTGGCACTCAGGGGCAGAACAATAAGATTTGAATATGAAGTGACTCATGGACTCATGTGTCTGAACACTTGATCTCCAGCTGTTGATACTTTTGAAGAGATTGTGGAAACTTTAAGAAGTGAGATCTTTCATCTTATTATATTATAAAATACTTTTTAAATAAAGGAAAAAATAAGGTCTCATTGGAGAAAGTGGGTCTTAGAGACTTGAACTAAAACAGAATTTTAGTAGGTGAGGTAGTCTGAATAGGAATGGCCTCCTATTCACAGACTCACGTGTTTGAATGCTTGGCCCATAGAAAGTGGCATTATTGTGGCCTTGATGGAGTAGGTGTGAACTTGTTGGAGGAAGTGTGTCATTGTGGGGATGACCTTTGAGGTCTCCTATGCTTAAGGTACACCCAGTATGACACACAATCTCCTTCTGCTTCCTGTGGATTAAGATGTAGAACTCCTGGCTCCTTCTCTAGCTCCATGTCCACCTAAATGCTGCTGTGCTTTCCACCATGATGATCATGGACTGAACCTCTGAACCTGTGAGCCAGCCCTAATTAAATGCTTTCCTTTATAAAGAGTTGGATGATCATGATGTTTCTTCACATCAATAAATCCCTAACTAAGACCGTAGATAACTATTAATAATCTCCTGGAAAACTCAATACTGACAATGGTAGACAGAATACTGACAGTCCCACAATATTCCTATTTTCAGTATATATACATGGTCTCTCAGTAATTAAAATTATATTTATATATTATGTATAAAATTATATTTATAAAGTACTATGAGGAAATCTGGAAGATGTAATTAAGATTTCAAGTTCATTCTCTGTAATGTAGAGATGTGGATACAGCCACACAACATGATGGTTTTAATGATTTATGTATATTTAATGTGTATGAATGTTTTGCCTGTATGTATGTATATGCTCCAAATGCATGTAAACTTATGGAGACCAGAAGAGGGTAGCAGATCTTCAGGACCTTGAGTGACAGAAGTTTGTGAACCACCATGTAGAAGCTTGGAAGTGAACTTGGGCCAAATTGGGTCATCTGTAGGAGCATCAAGTGCTCCTAACCACTGCTGGCCCATTTCTCCAGTCCCTAGCATGGACTTTTTAAACGCAGAGTTCATGTTGGCTAATTACAGAAGGAAATGCCTAGTAATTCAAAGTACAAAAAGGATCCAGCAAGTCTCTGTTGTACTGAAGATGAAAGGGCAAGGTGACAGGGAACTTATGTAATACCATCTAGGCGACTGAAAAGCAAACAAAGAAAAGCCAAAATCTTTCGTTAGGAGTAGGGGATGAGGATGGGACAGCTGAAAGCCGTTAAGCATGTGCGGGTGCTTTACCCAGTACTTCTAGCATGACTGTATCTTCCTGCAGGTTCTGGCCTTGCTCAGTCGGAGCGCTGACTTCACAGCGGTACTCTCCAGCGTCATTTCTTGTAACATTTTTGATTCGTATGTTGAAATCTATCATCTCAGCACGGTCTTTAAAGTCACCTTTTTGGGGAAAAAATAGGATGATAACATTAGAAATAATCAAGCAACTGTCTATATAGTATCTTCTTCAAGTCCCTTAATTCAAAATTAAAACTTTTGTTTTCCTAGTAAAAACTTAAACTTTGAACTTACATATGCATATTATACATTCTCTAAGACATTTTAAAAACATCTCTTCCTCTGTGTCTTTGTCTCTGTCTCCCCCTTTGTCTCTCTCTGTCTCTCTCCCTCTCCCTCTTCCCCCCTCCCCCCCCTCTCTGAGACTATATAGCCCTGGCAGCTGGCCTGAAGCTCTCTAAGTAGACCAGGTTGGTCTTGAACTCAGAGATCACCTACTTCTGCCTCCTGAGTGCTGGGATTAAAGGTATGTACCACAATATCTGGCACCTTGCCACTTTTTGAATATCTACTTGTGCTTTCAAAAAATGAAGAGCTTGAACATATATATATGTGTGTGTGTGTGTGTGTGTGTGTGTGTGTGTGTGTGTGTGTGTATTTGTTGAACATATATATATGTATATATATATATATATATATGCATATATATTATATATACAGGTGGAAGGAGAGCCAACTCCTGCTAGTTATCCTATGCCATACATATCCCCATCCCCCAAAATAAATAAATGTAATATAAAATAAAATAAAAAATAAAATGGGGTTTTGTGTTATATGCAAGTGTCTGAACTGACAGCTGTAGAAAATTAAAGTGAAAATCACTGTACTATTAGCCATTTGAAACACATAGTCCTATCTGAATGGAATAGAATTAGATGACATAGTTCATTTATTTGATTTTTGATACAGAGTTTCACCACAAAGCTTTGAGTGTCCTACAACTCATTATATAGACCAGCTTGGCCTTGAACTCATAGAGCTCTAGCTTCCTCTACCTGAGGAGTGACTGGCATTAAAAACAGGTGTGTGGCCTTCAGTGGGTATGATGGTTTGAATGAGAAATGTCTCTCATGGGCTCACAACCTTGAACACTTGGCCTTGTGTTTTGGGGGGTTATCGAGCAGATAAGAGGTGGAGCCTTTCTAGAGGAAATGCATCACTGGACATGAGCCTTGGGGGACTATAGCTTCACCCCACTTCCTTTTGTACATCTCTGCTTTCTGTGTACAGATAAGAATGTGATCAGCAAGCTTTCGGCTCCAGCTGCTGCGCCTTCCCTGCTGTGATGGACTCTACTCCTCTGGAACTGTGAGCCGAAATAAGTGCTTTCTTCTTTAAGTTGCTTTTGCCATAGCATTTTATCACAGCGACAGGAAAGTTACCAATACACAACCTAATGATATATAGTTCATCCACCACTATCACATTTTAATTAGTAAATTATATAATTAACAAGAATAGAGAGTGAAAGACACGTACAAAAAGTGAAATGTACTTGCTAACAGTTATTTTTAGCTAGTGGTCTAACTCTCCAAGCTCCACTGTAACTAGTCATCCACAGTCCTAACTCTCCAGGCTTCTCAGTGCTAGGCTTGCTAGAAAGCAGAGAAATGGGAAAACAGGGTAAGGCTGTTATTGCTGAGCAGGAACCCTACATCCAGTCTCATACCTTTTGTTTGTTTGCTTTGTTCTGGTTTATTTTATTTTATTTTATTTTATTTTATTTTATTTTATTTTATTTTATTTTATTTTATTTTATTTTATTTTTGAGACAAGGTCTCTCTTTATAGTCCAGGATGTCCTGCTATGTTGACTTAAACTCACAGAGGGCATCCTCCTGTCTTTGTCAGTAGAGTGCTGAGATTAAAGGCGTGTACCACCATATCTGGCCCAATTTCAGATCAGTCTTTTTCTTTTTCTCCTTCTCCCAATAGTTTAACTTACTAATCCAGCAAAAATGATTATATTTTGTGTTAAACAACCACTGGTCCCAGGATTCGGGGGAATTCACCTCCTTTTGCTCTGTCTGGTGTTCATGGCTGTGGTATTTTAGACTCAGACACTACTCACTTCATCTCACACTTGCAGAAACACATTTTCAGTAATCAGTCCTCTCCTGTCCTCATTTCTGAGTTAAAAGATCTTGGCTGTCCTTGGTGTCTTCTCACTCTGGCCTCCTCCAGTCTACACGTTCTTACCTTGGAGAGCCTGTTGATAGTAGACCAAGGAGACACCCCGCCCCAGCTTCTTCCACTCAAGTCTGGAGGATGTGGTCCTCTTTGGGGTTTTACAAGCTAAAATAGCCTCTATGAACAATAGGAAAAATAGGTTTTTAATGGTTCCTATGAGTTTGCACCTTATTTAACTAAAAAACAAAAATTAAAACACCTTTAAATTACTTATTCTTTGAATTTCCATCCATCCACTCATTTCTACCCAGACACACAAACACATGCATAAATACATCATGTCAGTAGGTGCCATGTTGATTTAACCCAAAGATGAATTGGGCTCATGACAGCTCTTCTCTGCGATAATTATGTGGCATAATCCTGCTTCCTGTAGCTATGGAATCTGAGTCTTCACCATTGAAATGGGACAGTAACTCATAGAACCGTGAGTCCTGAAAAGTACAATATATGCAAAATGTACATGTCTAAGCACTGTTCGCGCTTTACAAACAGCAGCAGCATTAATTATTTACTTGTTCTTCTAAATCTCTGCATCTGAGGAGTCTACAGTTTGCTAGAAGATGCAGGTAAGAGAAGATAATTCTAGGCAAAAATTAACGGGCATCAAGAGAGGGGTCTAAGCCAGTGGTGGCACACACCTCATCAATTTGACTCCAGTGTGGCAAAGGTCACTTTTATTACAGTGAAATTACAATATTTCCATCATTTAAGAATCCCTGGAACCAACCCTGTCTCGAAAAAACCAAAAAAAAAAAAAAAAAGAATCCCTGGAACCTTTGAGGGAGTCACCCTTTTTGACTGTCTAAACAAGATGGCTAGGGGACAGGAGGCCAAGCAATGCTACTCCAAGCTGCCAGGCAGAAGCTCCAGCTATAAATAGTTTAGAAGTATGTTTCAACCAGGCTCCATGGAGTGGCAACTTCATATTTCTGAGTATTTTTTAACCATAAGGTTAACCATACCCTGTCTCGAACCCCCCCCCCAAAAAAAAGGTTAACCATAAGGTTTGACCTAAAACAAAACAAACAGAAAACCCCAAAGGAAAGTAAGGGGATGCTGAAGCAGTGAGCAGGAGGGTGTGGATGGGTGGAGGAGCACTCCCATACAGGCAAAGAGGGCAGGGAGGGCAGATGTGGGATGGGGGGTTGGTGGAGGGTAACCAGAAAGTGGGATATCATGGGGATGGGGGGTTGGTCGAGGGGGTAACCAGGAAGTGGAATATCATTTGAGATGTAAACGAATGCACTGATTAATAAAAATAAAAAGTAACAAATAAAATAACAACAATAACAACAACAAAAACAAAACAACAGCAACAATGGAAACAAAAACAGAAAAAAATAGAGGATCTTTCACTGAGAGAAAAATTAGGTTGAAATTGTTTCTCTATGTCTAAGTTTGATGTTTAAGAACATTTAATGCTACTTTTTAACAGTCCCAATTTTATATGCACAGTTATGGAAAAAAATGTCGATAGGCATATGTTTGAAACGTGTGTCACCATGGCAATGGCTCTATGGTAGACAAGGGGTCCTCGTTGTTGTTGTAGTTATGTGTAGCCTTTGCTGTGTGTCTAAATTTTCAATTGTACTTCTACTGACAGAAATAAAATGAAAGGTAGTAGGAAACTGGCTGGGGCAAAGAAAGGCCTTGCCAGAAAAAAACAGAGCCAGGAGCTGTTTTGAGGATGCTTAAAGGTTTAAAGTTCTGCATGACACAGAGCACAGAGTGATCATTTTCAGAGGTGTTGGGAGCTATGCTACAAAGACAAATGTGTGCTAAGGGACCTGTCTGAGGAAACGCTTCTGGTCTGTTGATTAAGGAGAAAGGGTGGTAACTTCCGGAGGCTTGAGTTTTAGATAGGTTTCCTTCCCGTATTTTGTTGAGTTTTCCAACAATTACACACACACCCACACTCGTTTTTACTATTTCTCCATGACTTGCTCCTATATCTTAAGAGATAATTTTATACTGTGTCACATTATTTTGTGTATTTAACCAAACATGCACACAAATACATCCCTTTGGTGAGTTTCTCCTGACTCTCCCCTCACTGTTCTATGGAAAAACATGAGAAAATTCTATAAGAAAATGTGACCATTTTTATTCTCCCTGTCTACTGATTTGACTTTAGTCTTCTTCTCACTGAGCACATACAATATGAAGAAGTGAGCTATCCAGTTGTCCAAAAATTGTTCAGTAATATTGTGTGGCCAACACTGTTCTTGAGCTGTAATCAGTGAGCAGAGAAATAATTCTTTTCCATTTGGAATCTGACAGTGTAGCAGAGAAAGTCAGGCCAACAAGCAGCAAGTCCATCAGATGACTGAGGGAGATGGAAGCAGCGTCAGGGAAGATGGGTGGGCTCCAGGGACAAGGACACAATGTACAAATCAAAGATGGCCTCTTTCAGGAGGTTACGTCAGACCAAAGCTTTAGAAGACATGAAACTTAGTTCTAACAGTCTTTGTTTTGAGAAAGTGCCCCACATAAGGGAAGAGTCAAAACCTAGAGCCCTAAGGCATCAGCACCTTGACATGGGATACTAATAGAGACAGTGAAAGCACAAGAATTTTGGAGCTAACATCTCAGAATATCACAGCTGGTATAATTTCCCATATTTAGCTTCTGGGTTGTGGACATGGTAGCTCACAGGACTTCAAGTTAGACCTTTGTCACATAAAAGGCCTAAGATGATGTGATCACCATACTCCTATCAGTGAAATGATAAAATAATAATTCATGTCACAATTATGTATGTATATACATAAACACACACATACACATGTATAATCTTGCATACAGCATGTGCTCCATGAATGGTCTTCATTATTTTCATCTATGGGGAAATTAGTTTTAACTGTATGGTTGCCTCGCTATGATAGAAGTCCATACACAACACCACCACAAATCTTATACTTATACTGCCCAAATATGAACTAAAATTTCACCTCTGTTTTGGATAGTATAGTAGTTTTTACATAGTTTTTCACTCAAAGGACATTAATGCACAAAAAGGTGCAAACACTTTCTACTAATGTGGATTATGTTGTCGAAACACGTTTAATCTTCACTGAAAAATGATTAAGAAAATGGTTGATATTAAACTCTGATGAATAGCTTTCAGGCTCAGATGCTGTAAAGAACTGCTCATGAGCTGGACAAGCCTGGCAGTGCTGCCCTGATTTCCAGCTTAATCTGCTTTTGGCAGCACCGTGTGAAGAGAGACAGAACAGCAGTTCTGAGAAGCCGGGATTAATTCACGATTTTTTGACATCAGAGAATCATGAGGGGGGGAAATCCTGAATGAAATATGTTTCGTGTGTACAAATCACAAAATGTCACAGACTTTAAAGTTACTTCAAAAAATACCCCTAAACAAAAATGTGTAAGAAACTAGAAATTGATTTTTGCTTAATGGAAAGTCAAGTTGGAATAAGCAGGCACAAATTAAATAGAATGAAAGCATGCTTTAAGTAAAAGGGTAGAAAAGAAGGAAAAAAACAGTAAACATTTACTCTGAAGTCAGATTGTCTATGTCTGTTTCTCTCTCTCTCTCTCTCTCTCTCTCTCTCTCTCTCTCTCTCTCAGTGTGTGTGTCTGGGTGTGTCTGGGTGTGTGCACATGTTCATGCATGCATTAAATCCAGTGCCTCGTACATGATACACACCGGGCTCACCATAAAGTGAGTTACTCATTGAGCAGAGTAACTTCATCCCTGAGATTAACTTTTGATTGCAATAAATTATGAAAGGATTTTTCTATATTAAAAATGAAGCACGTCTTTAAAAAGTAATGCCTGGGACTAAAGAGGGGTGGTGGTTTTAGGATGTCTTGGAGATACTGAGTACCACTGAAGTGTTTACATTTTAAGATGTCAGATGGTAAAGTTGTGATAATTTTGCCTAAATGTTTCAAAAGCCATGTAAGAATAAAGGGTGCAATTTTTGACATTTTAATAGAGATATTCAAACCCAGCCGTGTACGACCTGGGGCTGGCTGGACCTGGGGAAGTGCCTCTGGGAAGCCAGTAGAAGAGGAACTTCACTTTCTTTGACTCTGGTTGTCACGCACTCCTGCTGAGTGCATTCTGCCAGTCCAGCCTCCGGTCTGGCAAGCTGCCCAGCTCTGCTTACCCTCCTGCAAGTATGCCAGACATCAAATCACTCTTGGGCGTTTACTTCCTCTTAGCCACCTTCCTCCTTTGAAACTGACCCACACTAAAGTGTGTTGTCTTAGCTTAATTATGTCGTATATTACAACTTAAACACCTTAACTGAAGTAGCCAAAGGGTTTTCCTTTTACCATCCTAATCATGTACTGCCTAGGTGACCTAATAGAGCTTCTAAGCAATGCTTATCTTGCTGATCTTTGAAGACAATATGCCTGAAGGCCCCAAGTTCTCCTTCAGGTGAACAGACCAAAACCTGACTGGCTATAACATGGCTGCCAGAGTGGTCACTAGAGAAGCTCCAAGTCTGAGGTAAATGCCATCACAAACACCAGACAGACCATACAAGAAGAAAAATAAAAATAAGGTGTGAGCAGGCAGTGGGACGGCTCAGCAGTTAAAAGGCTGGCTGAAGCCCGGAATCCCTGAGTTTGATTCCTGGAATGTACATGTACGTGTGATAAAAGATAAAACTGACTACACGGGAGGGGGGGGGG